ATCAAGGCAGCAACTTCACCAGTCGCCATTTTCAGGAAGCGCTAGCCAAGCTAGGCGTTACCCACATCACCAGCTCAGCCTACCACCCTCAGTCTCAAGGCGTACTTGAGAGGTTTCACCAAACCCTCAAAACCATGCTAAGGACATTCGCTAATAGTAACACCCAATGGGATGAGTCTGTTCCTTGGATTATTTTCGCCGCGAGGGACTGTGTCCAGGACTCTTTAGGCTACTCGCCTTTTCAACTTGTGTTTGGACATTCTGTCCGTGGCCCCCTGAAGCTGATACACGAACGTTGGACAGGTACCAGTGATCATCTAGTGGAAAACTTCGACGATTTTCACGTTCGACTGAAAGCCGTGTGCGAAATGGCTCACAAGAACTTAAGAAAGGCCCAAGTGAGAATGAAAGAACTGTATGATAAGAGTTCTTGTAAACGAACATTCAATCCAGGCGACAAAGTTCTTGTGTTAGTGCCTAATCTGAACAATGCGTTATCCTTGAGATATTGTGGACCCTTTACAGTGCATTCAAAATTAAGTGATTTGAACTATGTTGTCAATACGCCCGACAGAAGAAAGAAACAGACAGTGTATCATGTTAACTCACTGAAAAAGTATTATGATAATTGTAACAATTTTCAATCCACAGCTAAAATTACTTTACCTGTATGTTCAAATGTTTCTGATGATGTGATACATGATAAATTGAAACCCCCGAAATTGGTAAATTCTTCCTTTTTAGATAATTTGAATGTCCACCTTATGCATTTGTCCACAGAGGAAAGCCATAGGTTGTCTCAGTTATTTGAGACATTTCCCTCTATTTTTGGGGATGTCCCCAAAGAAGCGAAAGTACCACCTCATGATGTAGTCGTAGGTGACGCAAAACCCATTAAACAACACCCCTATAGAGTTAACCCGGAAAAAGCTGCTTTGATAAAAGATGAAATTGATTATATGCTCAAGAATGATATCATTGAGCCCAGTTTTAGCAACTGGAGTTCCCCATGTCTCCTAGTACCGAAAGACGGTGGATCTTTCAGGTTTGTGACCGACTTTAGGAAGGTGAATGCGCTCACCAAAGCTGATTCCTATCCATTACCTCGGATAGAAGACGTTATTGATAAAGTTGGGCAGGCTAAGATAATTTCCAAAATTGATTTACTTTCAGGATACTGGCAAATCCCCTTATCTGACCGTGCAAAAGAAATATCTGCTTTTGTAACCCCTAATGGTTTTTATAGATACAAACGCATGCCCTTTGGTATGCGAAATGCTGGTCAAACTTTCCAGAGGGTCATTAACTCTGTCATTGCTGACATAGACCAATGTGAGGCCTACATAGATGATATAGTTGTATTTTCTAATACTTTTGAAGAACATATTGTTCAGTTGACTAACCTTTTTAGAAAATTGTCTGAAGTGAATTTTACTGTAAACTTACATAAAAGTGATTTCTGTAAAGCTTCAATTACCTATTTGGGTTATCAAGTGGGAACGAACCAAGTTCGACCCATTGAAGCTAAAGTAGATGCTATTGTAAAGTTGCCACCTCCCAAAAATTGTAAAGAGATCAAAAAGTTCCTTGGGATGGCTGGTTACTATAGGCGGTTCTGTCAAAACTTTTCAGCTATTGCTGAACCTCTTACTGCATTATTGAAAAAGGGTGTTAAGTTTGAATGGTCAAATAAATGTCAAGAAGCCTTTTTAACCATTAAGTCATTTTTATCAAATGCTCCTGTTATGGCCGCACCAAATTTTAGCAAACCCTTTAAACTTGCCATTGATGCTAGCAACTTAGCCATTGGCTCAGTCCTATTTCAAGAAGACAACATGGGAATTGACCATCCCATTGCCTTTTTTTTCCAGGAAGTTAAATGAGAACCAAAAGAATTATTCTACTATTGAAAAAGAAGCTTTAGCTTTGGTTTTATCATTACAACATTTTGAAGTCTATGTCTCTTCTTCAACCAATCCAGTCAGAGTGTTTTCTGACCATGATCCCCTGAAATTTACCTCTAAGTTAGGACAGACAAATCAAAGAATATTGAGATGGTGCTTATATTTCCAAAATTTTAATCTGGAAATTTCACACATTAAGGGTAGTGATAATGTTGTGGCTGATTGTTTGTCAAGGATGTAAAATCTTGGTGTACACATTGATCATGTGACATGCTTTGTGGTTCATTAGGACCATAAACAGGTTTTGTTTGAGTGTCACTCATATGAAAATGAGTGGTGTGAGTTTTGATTTTTTTCAAAATTCCAATCCTGTTGAATATTTTGTTTATTTTCAGGTGAACCTTAATTAAAGGTGGGTTTTGATTATATGTAATCTTTTATAATAATATGTCTCATATGACTCAATTGATATTGTAGCTAGTCATCGAAATAAAGGTCTTACCCTGGCGGGTTTACCACTTTTAATATCCACATGGAAATATTGTAATACCCTTTTCTGAGGGATTTTGATGTATAATTACCTTTTGAAGGGTTACTCCCCTTTCACCAATTGTAAAAGTTGGAGTTACTTCCCTTTTATGTTCAGGGATATTTTCATCTGGTGTTATGATTTTGATTGCCTACATTTGTAAAACATTTTTGTTATTTCATTGCCAGATTGGTTCCTTATGTATGTTTTTTGTGGAACCTATCTGTCACTTCCAAAAAGGGAGGGGATGTGACCTACTTAGGTCGAGTCATTTTTATTTTGACATTGTATAATTCCTTATATGGAATGATGGTGTAACACCTGGGGTTTTTCCACTGACTTATTAAGGTGTTTGAGACATAGAAATTTTCCATTAAAATCTGATTGAATGATTCTGATCAGATGATTATCCCAACCAATGGCGACATGAGTTGAGGATAACCTCCCCTGTCACAGAAGTCTTTAATTGCACTGCACACTCGCAACACGAGGCAGTTTATCTTGACCTGGCAGTCTACGAGGCAGTTTTACCTTGATCAGGCAGCCGTCCATATTGTCCGGCTATAGACTCTGACCATTTGAACGTGAGAGTACTTAAGACCTGTGTGTGCCTTGCTTTCTTCAGTTGATTTAGTCTTCTAGTTTAATATTACTTGTCGCTAAGTAAGTCTTGAAGCTACAGCAGTGTTGTGTGGCCTGTGGCTATTTTTAGACAGTGTAGAAATCTGTGATAGTGATTTTTCCTACATTTTGTAAGTTGGATTTTGATATTTTATACATTAAATATTTTAACTAGTTTAACCTTGTGTTCGGCCACATCTGTGTTCGCTGATTAAAAGGTCGTATGTAGATTGGATGAGTGTTAATTACAATAGTATCACTAGCTTCCCTAGACATTGAATTCGAGCCCTAGTGGTCGTTGTGTTAAGTGTTCATCCACTTAGGCCGTAAGGTATTTGCATATGACCCCGAAAAAAGAATCCGGGGACGTTCTCCTTCTATTTGGCTGATAGATAGGTTAACGTTACAGTAACAATGAACTAAAAAAAAAGAGAAAGCAAATTATTTTCTGTAAATATATAATAATGAAAAACTATTTACATAACTAAAAATATAATTTTAAGAAATTAAAAATCTAACTAAACATTTTTTTGCAGCTAGATGCATTATAAATATTGTATACATGAAAATATCTTGTATTGATGTTATTATTTGTGTGTATTCAAAAAAGGTCATTAAAAATTTAATGACATTTCCCTACTTTTTAAACCAAATACGTGTAGACAGCAAACAAAGTTCATCGTATTGAAAGAAGAAGAAAACAAACTCTTTTGTTGAAGAACAGAGTATGCGTTACTAAACATTGTCTCATAATGGCCCGTGTTTGTTTGTGTTCGGAATGTTGCGCATTATTTCGGATTTTCCCGTTGTTTGCTGACCATGAGTTCACCTTAGTGTCTGACAAGTTGACGATTACCCCAGCTGGCTGACCGAGCCGTATGACTTAGCAGTCTGACTTAGCGGCGACTCTTGACTGAGATATAAAGCCTAAATGACGCTATTGACAGGGGTGTGTTGTTACACTTGTGGATGGGGAAGAAACAATGGACTATATAAAATCACGCACAAAACTATTGTGTGTATAGAAAGCTTTAAAAATTGGTCTACCACGGAAGACCAGTTATTCATTGTGCGGTGTTTCTTTCAGACATTTTTCTTCGGGAGACGGGAGGGGGTGACTTGAAACCAGTTATTCTTTCTAGCTCTATTAGATACAGTTTCAGCGATAGATTGCTTTAAGAGTTGAAGTTAAATTAGCGCTTAACAAAAGCAATCTATTAATTGATGTATTGAAGGCTAGTGTAATAAATATTTTAGTCACATTAGTGATGTGCATTGTAAAGTTTTAAGTTTCCTCATCTAGCATCTAGTAATCCCAGAATATTTTTTCTTTGAGATTTGCGTGACTCTCTGTCAGAAAAATTGTTTGGATGTGTGCGTGTGTGTGTGGGTGTGTGTGTGGGGGAGGTGGGGGTGGGTTGAGCTCTGTCGCTGTTGTCAGAGCTATAGCCAGACGACCCATTGTTAGGGCTTGGGTCTGATCCATAGTCAGGGGTATGGTCAGGGCTATCTGACAGTGAGTGAGTCTTACAGACAGATACCTGGGTAGTCACTCGTCGACCACTGGGCACCAGACACGGTCAAATATGGCCGCCCATGCCCTACCATAGGGCACCAGACACGGTCAAATATGGCCGCCCATGCCCTACCATAGGGCACCAGACACGGTCAAATATGGCCGCCCATGCCCTACCATAGGGCACCAGACACGGTCAAATATGGCCGCCCATGCCCTACCATAGGGCACCAGACACGGTCAAATATGGCCGCCCATGCCCTACCATAGGGCACCAGACACGTCAAATATGGCCGCCCATGCTCCAACTAAACTCAAACTTTTGTCTTTTTTTTCTGGTTGTCCATGCTTCATCCTTCTCTATGTTTGTACTGTTAATTTATTTCCTTATCAAAGTCCATTGACATTTTATTTCAATCTTCTGTTACAGGCGGCCGCGTGTAATGTCACACTGACGTCTGTCAAGGTAGAACTGCCACCTGTCTCTGTCAGTGGCATCTGTCATGACGGCTCCGGGGTGGCACTTGTCATCGCCTGCGGAGATGTCATCTGGTAAGTATGTCAAGGACACTTGGCGTACACCTGACGGTTTACTACAGATGCACACACACACACACACACACACACACACATTACTACAGATACACACACATACACACACATGCACACACACAGTTACTACAGATACACACAAATGTACACACAGACACAAACATACACCCACACACATTACTACATATACACACACATACACACACATGCACACACACACAATTACTACAGATACACACACACGTACACACAAACACACACATGAAATGTCCTACATTAGGGAGCAAGATATCACTCACTAAAGTCTCGAGATCCGTTCATGGACTCGAGTCCCGAACGACGTCTCTGAGTTCAACCAGCTGTAATGGATACCTGAACAAAACAGGTTAACTCTACTTCATCTGCTCCATTTTGGATCTGGTCTGAAAGGAAACTTCCCGTTCTGACATCGAGAATTAACTTCCAGATTTTCTGATATTAATTGACGTTTTTAACTGTAGAATTCAATCAAAATTTAAATGTAGGGAATCATTCAAAATAACTAAAAAGTCCACGGTGTTGTAAAAAAGAAAAAAAAAAGGGGGGGGGGGCGAGTTAAAAGAATGGCTACCTAGATATTTCTCGCCCCTCAGTGAAACAAAATGTCCCAGCACTAAACTGTTTTCTCTTCCACCAGGGTAGAGAAGGTTCCAGATTTATGTAGGCGTGGCCAGAATCATGGAGCAGCTCAAATGGTGAGGGCGTTGTTTTATTTATACAAAGATTTGTAAGACAAAATGTCAGTGGTTTAGTTATATATATATATATATATATATATATATATATATATATATATATATATATATATATATATATATATATATGCTGTGGATCAGATTCTGTGAATTAGTGGCTTAAAGTATTGACTTAGAAATAAAACCTGTCAATAATGTTAACGCTCAGTCATACATTCCTAGTTTCAAACTAGATTCCATCTTGGCTTAGAAGGGAAAAAAAGTTATCTCATTAAATATTTACATAGGCTCGCTACAGATCTAAGTATAAGCCTTGACTCACAGCACACTAAAAACGCGGATTAGATTAGCGGGATTAGTCGTGGAATTTTACTTATATTTCAATTTTTAAAACAAATTTACCACTTATTTTTTAAAAGCCGTTAAAAAAACGATAACTCTTATTAACGTGCTATGCTAGTTGATTAATGTTACAGTAGCCGTACACGACAAGGTTATTGTTTCTACTTTCGATTTGTTCCAGCGTCGCGCCCTGCCCGCCCCCACCGTCACCATACAGCTGGTCCAGGGTGACGCGGTGCTGGACGCCGCCAGGGTCAACGTGACCCAGACCTCCAGACAGTACAACATACTGGTGGTGGGCCAGCAAAATACCAGGTAAAAATACGGTTGCTAATTAGTTTAATTAATTCGGTAGCTTCAGGTATTGCTTTGATGGGGACGTGTACCTGTACAGGGTAAAAATGTGAAAGTATTACTTGAAACCAGTGGAGCCACCAGATCAGGTGACACTTGGTGCGGTAACCGAGGATGTCATTCCTCCGCCTATATATATATATATATATATATATATATATATATATATATATATATATATATATATATATATATATATATATATATATATATATATATATATATACAGAGAGAGAGAGAGAGAGAGAGATTAAAACCGTAAGGAAAAAAACCATCCCCGATGGTAACACCTATGCTTAATGATGTAGATAACCATAATAAGTTTTTAAAATAATTCAAAGTAGCTATATTTCATTTTGGTGTTATCCCCTTCGATGATGTCACTATGTGCGGTCCACCCCCCTCTCCCCACCCACCCTGCCTTCTGGCGTTACTACTTAAATTATTTTGACTACTATGAAATGCTACAAGGAGAATCATAAACATTTCAAAATACTAAGCTGAATATGTCACAAACCAATCAGAACGCAATTGGAATAGTTTAAATAAAACATACTTAATTAAACACGAGAAAAATGGTCCAAAATCACCATCTTAATTCAATTTAACCGGAAACAAAAAATGACATAGAAAACGGATTTTTATCCAGAATTGGTACTTTAATTTATACAAAATATAGTCATAGGCATATCCCTAAACCATGCATCTAATCTCATTCAAGACAAAAGTCACATTTAGAGTTTCTTTCCGGCAACTCTACTTGGGAGGAGGGGGCTCCGCCTCCCCCCCCCCCCCCCACACACACCCCAAAACATGTCTACCGTCCCATTCAACGAAATATAATTATATACTTTTTCCAGTGCCCGCCCCCTCCCAGAAAATTCTACCCCCGCCCCCCAAAAAAATTCAACTACCCCCACCCCTCGCCGGGGAGGAAAAAGTCTGAAAGAAACACTGGTCGCATTTGTAGATCATACAAACTAAAGGAAGAACCTGGGCGGGGCTTCGCCCCTACCGTAAGAGATGCATTGAAAAAACTGTGCACGAAAAACACTTTTTAGATTAGAAAAAGTTCCCTCCTCCGGGGAGGAAAATGTCTGAAAGAAACACTGGTGTCGCGCTTAGCCACTACCCGAAGAATTGCATGAAAGAAACTGCAAGCAAACCACTGTTTAGATTAGACACATTAATTAGGCGGTAATTTTATTATAGAGTATCGATGAAGATATTTCTTTTGAGTTGGGGAGGGGGGGGGGGGCTCAGACGTTCTTACGCGGGGGTGGGGCTTCGCCCCTACCCGAATAATTGTATGAAAGAAACTCTTCACGCAAACCACTTAGATTAGACAAAATTGGCTTTTTAATTCAATGTTTACTCGAGAATCAATGACGTCATATTACTGTGTGCACTCTCCGGCTTGATATTATTTTCTACTATATACTCCAATGTGACGTCATATTTCTTTTTTGTTTAACTATGCATGTTTTTAATTTGCTTGTGTTTTCTCTACAGCGTTCTTGTCAGATAGATACACAGACAGATAGATAGACAGACAGCGAAACTATTAGTATTAATGCATAGAAGCGACATTTAATTTACGACAATATTTGAATTGTTAATTCTTCGTTTCATGTTCCAGGTTTGTGTTGAGCCTAGAGAGCCAGTGTATAGCCCCGCACACTGAAGACAGCAGCCCCAACAGTGGTGAGGCGAGCTCCGACTTTTTACCCAGCACAATCAACATGGCCGCCAGCGGGGACTCCAAGATCCGACTCCCCAGCCGACTTCCGGAATTCGTGCATAAAAATAAACTCCTACGACCTAATGACAGTGTAGCTCCCGTGTCAAGGCCGACGACCAAAAGGTCGCAAACTGTAACAACAAGTAAAAAATCACAAACTGTTACAACAAGTAATAGGTCACAAAGTGTAACATCAAGCAAAAGGTCACAAACTGTAACAAGTAGAAAGTCGCAAAGCGTAACAAGCAAAGACAAAAATAGATTCGCCACGACTTTTCCGGGCGACGTCACGACGTCACCGACACGTGAACGTGCAACCCAGGTGACGTCGCCGGACAATCCTGCGAGTCTGGAACTGGACAAGCTCAAGTGGATGGAGGACCAGCGTCAGCTGTTCGAGCTGCGCAGAGAGACGGTGCGCAGGTTGTACCCCGGGGACGGGGACTACAACGACTACAGCCCGGGGGGCGATGACGTCACTTCCACACACACGACTCATGTTCCTGTCACCCCACCACAGGACCCTCCCCACCTCCGGTCTACAACTCCAGCAACAATTTTACTCAAACCGGAAGTGAAGCAAGTAATTAATCTAAAGACAAAAAATCAATTAAAATCTCAATTAGATGCCGCCATATCCGCTCAAGTGATTAAGCCAGCACATATATCCTTTCGTACACTTAATAACCCAAGTGGTGAGGCTTTCATACCACGTGATATCACCACGTGGTTACCCCAAGAAGACAGCCGAATTTCCGTTTCTAAAAATGAAACGGCGGACTTTGTGTTTCTTAACGCTCCGCAGTCGACAGATGGTACAGCATTATCCCAACGCGGTGTGACGTCATCCCCACTCAACAACGAAGACGCCGGTGTTGTGACGTCATCGCCGCTCACCAACGAAGATACTGATGTTATGACGTTATCACCGCTCACTAAAAAAGACGGTGGCGTCATGAAGTCATTACCACTCACCAACGAAGCTCTGACAGAAGCTGACTCCAACAACGTCGCTTTGTTTTTTTCTGGGCTGCTGGCCAATTCCGAAAATGTTTCGTCGGTCGCCGCGGAGATCGTTCCGGAACCAACTTCCGGTTCGTCCAATCCCGGAAGTGGAACAGAAGTATTAATCACGGGCACCACTGGGGAAGTGACGTCACCCGTGTCAAACCTGCCTACGTCATCGCACCCACAAACAACAGTCAGCGACTCGGACACTTCGCCACTAGAGGTCACCACGACCCTCCCAACGCCATCGACAACACAAGTGACGTCAACAACGAGACTACAGGATCCTGTTACGTCAGCGGGAACCTCTACAACCACACAGACGACTCATACTACTCCTACGACTACGATACCTACTACTGTTACACGAACGACTACGATACCGACTACTGTTACACGAACGACTACGATACCGACTACTGTGACATCAACTACTACAACACCGACTACCAGGACGTCCATTACAAGCGCGCAGACGACATATATATCCTCGACATTGTCCGGGACACGTCAATCTTCAACAACTTCCGCAGTCACCACATCCACACCATCACCACAAGCGGAACCTTCGACATCACCATCCCAGACCTCGTCGCCTCTAGAACCCATCTCCCCCACACTCCCCCACACAGACCCCACAACCCCACCCTTCCCATTCTTCACCCTCCCCTTCCCCACCAACCTCCCCAGCGGCGTATCCACCAACACCAACACTTCCAGCAGCGACGACGCCATCAACGACGACGCGGTCTGGCCTGTAGTTGCCGCCCTAGTCGTGGGGATTCCTGCGGTCATCGTCATCGGAATTGCCGTCGTCGTCATCCAGCGCAGAAGGTTGGCCCAGCCTGTCCGAATAGCCCGTCTTCCGCCCGCCACGCCCTCCCCACCACGCTTGTATCCTTCGCTTTAACGCTAACCCTAACCTGCTTCTCTAACTCCGTTTCTCTCACAAGGTAGACCACAACTATCTTAGATTTCTATTCATTTTCTATTAGATTTTACTTACACCTTTTTAGCGCAATTTCCATTCTGGAGAATGGAGGCGAGCGAGTTGACGAGATTCCGTCCCCAATGTTGTTGACATGGAATAAAAACGTGCTTTTTAAGATTTAGACCGTAAAAAAAAAATAAAAAATAAAAACTTAAGCCTAAAATTAATTTAGAAATTTTATATTTTTAGAATAAATGCTATAAAAGTTGCAAATCCAGAGAACTTGAAAATAATTTGTTGAGTTTAAGGCTACATTTCTATTTATTTTCATCAAGCCTAAGTTATAACCGGATGTTTCACTTTCGTAAGACAAATATTGATTGGCTGTACAGTAACTTAGTGATCGATAACTATTTGTTTACAAAACTTTGCAGATCAAGTTTTTAAATAACAATGCAAATTTAAAACCCCATGACCTAGTTTTCTATTTTTAGCTTACAATGTGTACAATAAAATCTATGGCAGCCTATCCAATAGCAGGATGCCATGTTTATGTCGCCATTACACGTGAAAACCAAATTGTTTTTGCTTTTTTTTTAATTTTTATTTAGTTACCGAAAATATTATAAACATCAAATACATCCAATCTTTAGTAAAGTCCGAAAAAAACCAGACAGGCAGGATTTTATAACCATATTAATTGTAAATACGCTGTGCATGATTTTTTAATGAATTTATACACCTCTCAAATACCTTTGAGACTTTTCTCGCTGGTGTCCATTGCGTTTATTAACCCGTCATTTCTGGATGTATGAATGTATGGATGGATGGATGTGTGTCCGCAGCTTTAAGTCGTATCTCCTCCTAAACGAAGCAATATCAATGACTAGTTCCAAAAGCAATTATGTTAAGCAAGTTACGAGGATGAACATAGGCCATAAAAATTACGGTTTTCTTTCATGGATTTCCCGGAAAAGCCAAAAAACCTCGAAAAAAAGCAGTTTTTGGCCAATATCTCGGCAACTAGACCACTAAGCGACATGAAACATGTACCAATCGATTCCTGCCATAATTTAGAACAATATTGCCAGAGAAAGTTTTCAAAAATATCCTTTCGTTCGGTCACAAAAAATTTTTTGAATTAATTAAAATTTGGACCGAATTAGTAGGCATTTTTTCCAACCACACCACACGCGTCATCACGTTCAATAGCTGCGCCATCGCGTTCCATGGCTGCGCCATCACGTTCAGTAGGCGCGCAATGGTTTTTAGTCATGTAACTCTATTGTAAATAAAACATGTAAAATACTGAAAAAAATTAATAAAAAACGTTTTAATAACTAACCAATGGTTTTACTAACCCTGCTCTTGATTTACGCTACGACAGAGCTATTTTTAGATAACATAAGGAAATTGCGCTAAAATTGTCACTAGACTTTTTAATTACCTTGTTTTTAATCGGCTTAGATTTTACTTACAATTTTCATAGTCTTCCTTTAATTATTTTCTCTTAGATTTTAGTTACAATTTTCATAGATTTCCTTTAATTATTTTCTCTTAGATTTTTACTTACACTTTTTTTTTAGAATCTTCTTAGATTTTACTTACAATTTTTTTTTAATCGTCTTAGATTTTAGTTACAATTTTCATAGATTTCCTTTAATTATTTTCTTTTACATTTTTACTTACTTACACTTTTTTAAAGAATCTTCTTAGATTTTACTTACAATTTTCTTAGATCTGATCTAGAACTCTCTATTGTTTTATTTTTAGCACTCATTTAGATTTCTCTTACAATTCTCTTAAATTTTTTTTCTAGAATTCTCTTAAATTTTCTAAGGATTATCTAGGTTTTCGTTCGTATTTAGTAGATGCATTTTAAAGTTAGTAGATCTCGTTATTCACTTTGTATTTTGCACCTAATTATTTCATTTAATTAGCGCACTTAACTCTGTGCTTTCTAAATTTAGTCTTATGTTTATAATTTAATCATTTGAAAAATAGCACATCTTTACAGAATCATAATTGATGAAATTTTCTTAAAATCATCTTTGTTAACAAAATTGTCGGATACACAAAACAGATTTAATATTAGTTCATCGAAAAACAAAACTTGTAGGAACTATTTTTAAAATGACATAATAAGTTTTAATACACGATATAGATCCACATATGTTGGGGGGGGGGGGGGAGTTTAGGACTAGGAGGGCGTGTTTAGATTTTAAAACTGTTTTTAAGAATGAATCACTTTCTGAACCTTTCATTTTTTTTTTTTACACTAGCTCGTTTTTTTTTTTACTTAATGTAATCTCTGCTTAGTTTTAGCTCTACTCAGTTTTATTTTATTTAAACGTAAGCTATTTTTTACTTTATTTCTAAACTTCAGCTCACCAAATTACTAGATCACTGCTTTATAATATGTATTCTTATTTTAACTTTTGGGTGACGTTTATTTTTAAGTAAATATTTGAGTGGGTATTAGGTGCTGGGGAATTATATCAAATAACTAATGCACAATGTTTGTAACTTGACAATCAAAGTGTTTTTTAAATATATTTTTTTAAATATGCATAATTTTATTTATGTTTTGATATAAGTGTACTACGTTGCTTATGTATCGTGCTTATATCGTTAACATTTTGTTTTCCAGTCAACCCACTCTAGGCAGGTCTTTCCAAATGAGGAAGTTACCAAACAACAGCACGCCAAAATTATCGGTCAGCAGTGACACCATTAGGTCCACCATGATGCATTCTACGTCCATCGATGTATGAGGTTCGATCATTTAGACCCTAAAACATTTTCAGCACCATTGCGTTTGTCTGCAGTATAAAAACTAAACTGGATTCTAAAGTTTCTGAGATTTAGTATAGACACGAAAAATGGACTGAGACTTGAGGTAAAGCTCAGTTAAATTGGTTGCCTTCCTAAAGGTCTTCAACGGCATAAAAGAGATTTTAATTTTATAAAAGCAATGGCTGTAGTGGTTCTGCAGAAGAAAGAAAATAGACATCAACAAATTCATATTAAGTAAAATGTGAGGATTTTTACAAACTGTGATTTTTAAAAGTGTGATATGAAAAACCAAGATATGGTGCGGAGGATAGCAGATATATGTTATGCAAATTTATTTTTCTTTGTGAACTTTTTTTTAATTTAAAAAATGTTTAATTAGAGAAGTGTAAGTATTAGAATCTGCTTCTCTAGCGATCTTATGTTTAGGTTTTGAGTGTCCCTAATGTTTAGAATGTGAGTGGTCTCTAATGTTTAGATTTTGGTCTCTAATGTTTAGATTTTGGGGGTCTCTAATATTTAGATTGTAAGTGTCGTGTAGCTAAACTCGAAGCTCACTGAATGTATGAATGTTTTAACCTGTACCTAATGTACCACTGATAGGCTCACCTTTAAACGTTCTCACCTGTGTAACGGTTATCTAGGGTTCTAAAAGGCTGAATATTGTTGACGTCCAGGTAGACGTCATGAAATCTCCGCTGTTTAGGAAAAAAATATTTAACTTCAAAGGAAAACATTTTAAATGATCGTTTCTGATAGCTTCTACGCAGAGGGTGCAACGGCTAGGAGGGGATGCTGAAAGATCAAGAAAATTTTGTTTCTAATTTACACATGCATTTTCATGGGTGAGAGATTATTTACTTACGTGTGTGGTGTGTTCGATGATGTGTTTTTGAGAGCTGGGTTTATATAACGGCTGAATGTCATGACAATAAGAGCGAATGTGCTGATGTTGCATACAATGATCTTTAACTTATGGGGTAGGGAGTTATGTAGTTAATTTTTGTGCTGGTCACGTGATCTATCGTCACGTGATTTTTGTTTGTTTTGCTTTTGCTGTTTATAAAAATTTGGACCTATAATAGTGAAATGTGTTTGTGACGAGTATAGAAGTCGGTCGTCGATGAATTCCAATCTTAAAATAAACTGTTTGCTTTCTATTCACTATGCAGTTTAGGCACGCACTGTTGTATGTAAACTCTCACTAAGCTTAAAGTACTGCAGATTATGTGGTAAACAAAAACTTGACAGGTTCAATGATCAGGACAATACAAAGTTTACCTGAGTAACCGTTGGAACAACATTCATTTACCTGTGTAATCATTACGACAGTAAAAATGTAATCGTTGAAATAACACAAATTTACCTGTGTAATCATTACGACAGTAAAAATGTGCACGTGTAATCTGTGAAACAATACAAATTTACCTGTGTAATCGTTACGACCTAAAAAGTCGCAACAACATCACCTGCGATTAACAACGACGTGTGACAGAAATAAAATCGAGGGAATGATCTCAGTTGTCTGAAATGTTGCCATTTGTTCGCGCTCTACTCGACGCTAGTATAATGTGCCTGTTTGTGCAGTCGAACAAACTAACTTTCAAAGACGCTTCCAAAAATGTTTTTAAAAAATTTCGCGAAATTACCGTCATATTTTTGGTAGAAAGATGCACACGATTAGAAAATTACCCTTTGCTCCAAAGAGCAAGAAAAGTTTTTTTTTTAAATTATAATCCTTCATGTAGACGAACGCCTCCCCCCCCCCCCCACTCTAAAGCTTCCCAGCCCGTTCATGTATATGAGACGTACACTTTTCATATTTCTCGAAATCAGCTTTGAAAACGGTTTCATTGATCAAACACAAAATCCCGATCGCCTTATTCAACCATTCCGTTTGTTTTTGTAAAGAAACATTGGCACTGAATATAACGATTCCTCTTATTTATTATTTTAGTATTTATATATGTTCCGGTGTTATAGCTTGATACATCACAGATGCAAGATACCATGTGTATGTGTACAACACAGATGTATGTACAATATGTACACAACACGAATTGTACTAGATTTAAACACAATGACATATTTTGTAATGTGTTACTAATGAATAACTGTAAATTTAAAACGTATCGTTTTCGATGGAATAACACCACTTTGCTGCTATAATTAAATGTCTTCCTAATTAACACATCCAATCCAGATCTATATTAGTTTATACGTTTAAAATGGATGTTTTAATACATGTATTAGTTATGTTTTCTTAAGTTATAGATCTATACAAAGATAATTTTAATGAGCTGGAAGCAAAGATGCCTTTACATTGTTAAGATTCCTTTGCGGAAGTTGTTTTTGTACGATGCTACTCAACGATTAAATTTTTTTTTCTAGTTTTTAAAAATAAGAAATTTTTTTAATTTGTAACAAATAATTTTTAAAGCAAGACTTTTGTATTGTAAAATGACTAATATTTCAAACACAGTTACCAAACAATGGTGCTTATTGCATTGAGTGCTGAAATATTTTTGGGTTTTGTTTTGCGTCTGAAATATCGTGTGATAGTAAACTTACAATTATTATTTTAAAGGAGTATACCATTTGTTTACAAAAGATCAAATGTTTGCAGTAGGCACATTATTATTATTCAAGATAAAATGTTTTGTATGCAGAAAATAAAACTGTGAAATATTTTTATTGATGGTGTTGCTTTTTAATAGATTTTTAAATATTTTCGCTTTTTGCCAATCCCCATCATCGCACATCGTCACAAAAAAAGTCTAGACCCCCTCCCCCTCCCCTACAAAATTACGTCACACTTTACAATACACTCTCCAACCCACTCCCACCCACGTGAATTAATTTAGTTTTTGAAACAGCAATTTTTGTTTATAACATTAACTTTGTTTTTTAAAAACTCTATGGAAATAAACCGGGAGTGATCTCCCCTAAACCTTCTCGAATATTCTTATATAAAATAACAGGGGATGGGAACTCGGGCTATAGACATGACTTTTAATCCATTTTAAATACTTAAAGTTTTAAAAATAGAATAAAATCTCGTAGACAAATTAATTGCACACCAAGTGAACGCCAAATAAAAAAGCGCATAATAGTGCGCAATATTATTAGTACTTTTAAAATTTACATTAGTTTTTTGAGAAATCGGAAGTAGCGTAAAGTACTACTTCCAGTCAACGGAAATTACTCAAAATTTAACAGAAGGTAGAGAATTAGATCTTTTACTTACACGTGAAATTTCATTTATCTATCTGAAATAGTACTCAAGTTATAGGCTTTTGAAAAATTCAAAGTAGGAAAAGTACCACTTCCGGTTATCGGAAATCGCTCAAAAGTTGATACGGATCTACGATTTTGATAAAATACTTATATATGAAATTTCATCCACCTAGCTGTAACGGTACTCAAGTTATCGTGTTTACACACGGACAGACACACAGACACACACACACACACACAGACATACGGACAAGATTGCAAAATTATGTTTTTCCGTATCAGTGAGGTGTAAAACGTCGAGATTTGTAAAAAAATCTCGATTTTTTTTTTGCACAATTACAATACTTTCTCTATACTTCGTATATACGAGAAAGTAAAAAGCATGAAAAACAAACTTTCATGTTGATCTAATAATGCAATAAAAATGAGAAAATAAATGATTTTTTTTTAAATTTTAAACAATGAACAACTATTGAAATATCGAAAATGAAAAGCTTTTGTCAATATGTTATATATTGAATATCTTTACTCTAATTTAAATGGCTTTTAGTTTTTATTTAGGATATTTGTTCTCAGATAAAACTTCGCACACTCAAAACAAAATTTCTGTACATAACAAAGTAACACAATATTTAATAACGCTTTTTATTTTACGTTCAGTGTTTAATCTATCTACGTACTTTAGCCATCAGCATTCACCAACATTGTAAGTTGTTTTAGATTAAAAATGACGAGCCGACCCGCTGCGTATCATACGCCGCTATTTAGTTGTTTTTTTTTCTACTTTTCAGTCTTTTATAATTTGTGAATTCGACAGTACCAATGCTGCCACTGAAAAAAATTGCTTAAAAACACTAAACCCCCCTTCCCCACCCCCGCCCCCCCCCCCCCCCACGTGAAAGCAGCCTCCTCTTAGTTACCTCCTCTAATTTTAAAATCGTTTCAAACTAAATTATCTGCCCCTAATAGCCGTCACCAAACCCGTCTAGAGAGGAAGAGAGAGGACTGCAAGGAGGCGTTTGCAGCTTGTTTTCTAAAGGCTCCCAGAAGAGAATTATATATATAGATAACTGTGTTAAAACACTCCCAACAAAAAAAAGTATTTAGAAGAATTTATTTTTAAATAATTATTCAATAGCTTTAAAATATTTTTAAATTAATGAATAAAAATTTGAGTAACCAATACAGCAGTGTTTAGTTTGACTTGAAGTATGCGACAAGCTAAACTGTTTCATCGCATGTCATAGTAGAAAGTTTATGTCTGAGTTTCTGTTTCATGTCATTTCTCAAAATAATATTTAATGTCATGTCTGAAGGTTTGTCAAATGTCATTAAATGTTTATATATATATGTCATATGTCATTTCCAAATCGTAATGGTACACTTCATGTTATAAATACTATGCAATTTTCCTTGGATCTAGTAAGAATTCAAGTTTTATGACAAAAAAAAAACTAAACCCATGCAATTAAACAAAAACAATATTTTTATTCATATGTCTACATTTAAAACAAAAAACAAATAAATTTAAATGTCAATCTAAGTTGCAGACTAAATAAAAGTACTTAAATTATACGGTAAAATGCATGGTAAAACTTGTACTATTTTTAGGTCTAACTACCAGCCAAAGAATTCAAAACTAAATCAGACCTTGTTAAATAAAGTATTGTACGTGAAAAATGTAATTAGAATAAAATAAAGACTAGAGAATCTTATAGAGATAAACGATTTAATTACCGAAAACCGCTAATAATTACCAGAAAGTGGGGTAATAATCTCGACCCACATGCGGTACTGATATAGATCATGTTTATTACACCATATTTTATAGATCAATAAATAAACGGTTTATTATTTACAGAAATATTACTGGATACATCTAACATATCACATACATGGCTTATATATTCCAGACAACACTAACACATCATATGCAGATAAATTATCACAAGCATGATTTATATATTGGATACAAAGAGCAAACACAACATATACAGAGAACATGCTTAACCAACATACAAACACAGCTAACATTGCAGTTACAGGTAAAGTATCTCATAAGAAGATACCGCATACAGAGGGATGAGAAAATCACCATATAATGTATGTGTTGCACAGCGTTGTGACACAGCACTCATATCAAACATGTGTATATTAATTCCATATACGTATAATATTACAAATTTATGGATATTGATGGGTTTTTTTTGTTTATTAAATGATAAATAATCATTCATAATCATTTAATAAGCTCGTGGTTTGAACAGTTAATCATTTTTTTTGTTTTAAAAAGGTGAAATAATAATTAAAATAATAATTAAAGTTGAAAAAAATGTATGTTAGTGTACCTGTGTGTGTATGTTAAAAGATTATGTATGTGGATGTGTATAAAGCTTAAGTTTATAATCCTAAGTGTAATGAAGAAATCACTTGCTAATATCATTGTTTTAAAAAGATAAAAACAAAAACTCTTAGATTTATATACATCTTTATATTACATTCATGAGAAAATTCGTTCACAAGATTACATGGCTGTTGTTATTCAAATTATGTTTCATTCATTTTAAATCAAAACAATAATTAAACCAAGTAACCGGTATAACAATATGCTAAAACTGAAACGACCAATGAGCTTTGAGATACAGGTCACATGACCGACACCCGGGTTAGTCTGTCCTGTCCTGAATGCTGAGGAAACTGGAAATTCTGCTGTAAAAATTTCTGACGCATGGTGGCGTCACGATGACTCCAGCCCCCGAACCCGCGCGCGTCACGCTTGCTGAACTGACGCGACACCGCGTTGGTGTGGCCTCGTTGTGACCTGCCCACGTGACTCAGCTGCTGCTGCAGACGGCCGAGCTTGTGGTCGAGGATGTTCTCCAGGCGAGGGAAGTGGCCCGGGTGGGATGGCCGGTGGTTCCAGTTCCTCGGCCACACCATCTAAAAATAGCATCGGACAATGGTTCACGATAGTACATTTATAAAATCCTGTATTTCGTCTTTAATTTTTTAGTACTTAAATTTCTAATTCAATCTTGCCTCTACAGCCCCTATTGATTGTCGAACCCTGTCTGTTGTTTCTAAATTAGCTAATTAAATGAATCCCCCCAAAGGAGTGTGTTCTTTTAACTTTATTTTTATTAGACAAACTACGAGTTAACCAAAACTACTTTTGGGTTGATGGAGATGGGATTGTCTTCGATCGATGGTAGTTAATGTTAATCATTTTGAAAAGATGGGACGTAAGGTTTATATTGAGCCCATGGTTCCAGGTATGCATTGAACTAAGTTTCATTTTGCTTAGTACAATTAACAATATTAACAACATCATCATCATCGTCATCATTACCAGCATTTTCATCCTCGTCAACGTAACCCATATCATTACATCGTTTTCATAAAATAACGATACTTGTCATCATTATCCTAATTGTATAATTACTATAATCATGTCATCATTACTACCAACGCCATTTTTATCTACTTACCATCACTAGACTACACTGTACACGAATGTCGACTCACCTGGTTGTTGTAGCTAGTGCGTGTGCTGGCGCCCATGGACAGCTCATCATCCAGGTCGTAGTCAGGTGTATTGGCCACGTCCGTGGTCAGACTGCTCATGTCCTCGTCCTCAGACTCTCCATAGTCTGGCACTGGCTCCAGGTTTTGGTGCTTCTGTATCTCCTGCACAACAAACCTGCGGAGACATTTAATACATTAGCCGGAACTTTACACCATGGTTCTTACATTAGCCTGAACGTTACTCTCTAATTCTTACAATAGTTAGAACTTTACACTATAATTCTTTACCAGAGCTTTACTGTAATTCTTAAAATAGCTAGAACTTGAGTCTTTATTCTTATATTAGCCAGAATTGTGTTTCCACTTTTCTTCCTTTAAGGAATAGCGTGGTCTAGCTGTAGAACTCGCGCTTGCTAGTCATTAGTTCGGGACCCGGGCTAGACATTATAGTTCTTCCCAAGACTGAGTTACCCCCACCCCCCCCCCCTTCCTCCCCACCACCAGTAACCAGGTAAATGCACCAGGAATTAAAAGCCAGACCAAACTCTCACAGATCTAGCTGCTGGTAACGTGGGTGAGTGAAATGTCGATTCCATAATGTAGCTGCGGTCTGTCTGGCTTCACAACATAGCTGGAGCCAGTTATAGGGTATATAGGAAGAGACAGAGTGAGATAGAGGGAAGAAGAGAAAGCGAGCGACGAGTCAGAGAGTCAGGTTGTAAAACCGTAACACGTGTGTACTACCAATGCGCGTGAGGCCAGCAGAAGTTTACCTGGCGAAGTCCTCCTCTGAGTGAGCACCGCTGAACCAGTCGATGCGCGTGCTAGACATGAGGTGCAGGAACGTGCCCCACCTGTGCATGATCATCCCCACAAACTGGAACAAAAAGGTGGCTCCGTCAACAACAAAGACCCATGAATTCAGCACAAACTCTAACGAACTGTTTCGTTAGTCAATATTTATAAGGATTAATGCCCTGATAGAATAAATGTTTTTCTACACAAACAATTACAAAAGGATAGACCCAAACATTAACACAAACTCTAACTAACTGATCTGTTAGTAATCATTTCAAACAAGAAGGATCAATGCGCTTGAATAATAACTAATAGCTGTTTTTCTACTCAAAATGTGTTAGCAATTACAAAAGGATGGACGTAAATACTAACACAAAGTCTAAGAACCTGATTTGTTGGTAAACATTTAAAATAAGAAGGATTCATGCACTAAAACGAGAACAATCATCCAACTAAAATAACTCTTACCCAAAACAAATACACTGTCAAAACAGTTATAATTGTTTCATTAACAAATTAACTTTCATTATTTCCAAAACTTAAGAGCCTACTAGTTATATATCGGTCGACAGACTATCACGAAAACACACGGTACAACAAGCAAACTGTTATTTCATTTTATCAGATTCGATAAATTACCTGACCATGCATGGGTAATTACTATTTAAATCAATCAAAAGTATCCCCATTTTGTAAGGTTGATTGATTTTGCTTGTGTTGTTTTTTCGGTTAGTAATAAATAACAGGACTTTTTCCTTTGCATAACTGCATGAAATGGTTGTAAAGGATCTAAATATTTGCTTTAACTTCAACAATTATATAAATATAATCAATACACATGTTGACATTTACATTAATAAAATTGTCAAATGTATACACAAAGCAACTTAATGATGTAGCTATATATATATTTGATACAACACCAGATAGCAATAATCAGGAAAAGCCTACCTGTATAACCATGACAATAGCGAACACAGCCAAGAACACCAAGGACATTGGCTCGTATTTCTTGATGATGTAATAGTCCTTAAGGACGTCCTCTGAGGACTGAAGCTGCAGGGAGATAACTGTCCAGAGAAAGTTGAGCATGATGAAAATAAACACAACATTGTTCCGTGCCTCTAGCAGGTCGCTCGCTATTTTTTGTTTCTCTTCCTTATTCTCCTCGATTGGGTGCAGGTATTTTTTAATCAAAAACTTCCAGAAATCGATTTCCGAATCCGGAAGACATTCAACCGGACCGTTTCCGATTCCTTCAAGCTGTAACCAATACGGATTATCCGGATCCGGTTCATAACCGGTAATTTCTTTCTCAACTTTTTTAGGCTTGACAGGCTCGGAATTTGTTTCTTTTGGATCGCTTCTCATCTGGTTTTGTAGGTCGGTTTGGTTCGGTGCATTCTGGGAGTTCTGCAACTCGTTCCTTAACCCCCACACGCTTCGTAACACATCCCTGAGTTCAGTGACGACATTCATTAACCCTATGGTGGTGAAAATATTCCACGATTTTTTCTTCTTCCGTTTTTCTTCCTCCGCTTGTTTTAAAGCTTCTTCTTCCTCCTTCGTCATTTTCTTAGGCACCTCTCTGGTTCCCCAGGAAACGTTGTTCAGGTTACACAGGTAGAATATCGTCAGGAGAATGAACGTGGAGGGCACCACCAGGAAGTAAATGGCACCAAAGACCAGACAGTAAATCTCCTGCGGGTGGAGAACGGCGGCCATGATGAAAATGATACCGAGGCCGCTGAGAAAGACGACGTTGGGGCTGCTGAAGTTTTCGGTGGCGATGGAGATGATGGTGCCGACTGTGGCAATCATCATCACCACCGTGTAGATGGCGGTCAGCACCGCGCCAACCTTCACCTACAGAGACAAAGAATCGCTGTTTAGTTAAACTCATGGGGTATAGCGCAGAATTAGATTCAACTGCTACATCAAATTCAATGTTAATTAGTACATTCATTCCCCACAATACAAATCGAAACATTGGATTAGTTAAATAATGTTACATAACAAAACATATAGATCTGCTCATGAAAGAAAAAAAAGATGTTACGTAGAAAGAACCTACTCCATTAAATATAACAATGCTAGCTAAGAAAATGTAATTCTGTAATTCTTGCAATACAAAGACGTTACATAAAAGACGTCTTCATCGTCTAACACACCAGTAACTGTGAGATCTTGTAAGATCTTTCATGGCTATATATGCATTAAAACAAGATATGTTTACATTGTGGATTGTGTGGATATTCTTAAGTCGAAATGTCGGGTGAATATTCAAATAAATTATCAACGCAATTTAAATTTTTTAAAAAACTACTATAAATGATGTTATCTAGATGTAAAACATTGCCAACAACCTAAACCACCATCGATGAAATTATCTCGCTGAATTACCTGAATGTCTGTCTTCTGTGTGAGGCAGACGGCCACGTAGATAGCCACAGGTATGACAGACAGCACATAGGACCACCAGTTGCTGAGTCCCAGTACAGTGTGGTAGGAGCTGGTGATCATCAGGATTACAGTGGACGGTGCCAGGATAGAGGACGCCATTAGGGTGAACTGTGGGGGAAATGTGTTCAGTCAGTTGGTGCTACTTTCTTAGTGGGATTGTGAAGTCAGTCGGTGCTATTTTCTTAGTGGGATTGTGAAGTCAGTCGCTGCTACTTTCTTAGTGGGATTGTGAAGTCAGTCGCTGCTACTTCTTAGTGGGGTTGTGAAGTCAGTCGGTGCTACTTCTTAGTGGGATTGTGAAGTCAGTCGCTGCTACTTCTTAGTGGGATTGTGAAGTCAGTCGCTGCTACTTCTTAGTGGGGTTGTGAAGTCAGTCGGTGCTACTTCTTAGTGGGGTTGTGAAGCAGAGGATTTGAGATTTGGGGGTTGAAATTTATGTTTTAATAACTAAGAATTGTCACCTAGCTGTTACAGAACGTATATCTTACTGATGTTGTCAGCAGAGTTCCTTCCAGGCATCTCTTCGAGGGTCTCCGCCCCCCCCCCCAAATTTCTACCGTCTCCCCTTCCTCCACCCCACCCCATCCCCCCCCCCAAATTTCTACCGTCTCCCCTTTCCCCCACCCCACCCCATCCCCCCCCCCCCGAACGAGAAAAGATATATACTTTTACCAGTGTCTACCCTCCTCCCCATTTCCCGGAAAATGTCGTCGTCGCACCCTCCTGAAAATTTCAAGCACCTCCCCCCCCCCCCGAGAAAAAAGTCTGGAAGAAACACTGGTTTTAACCTACCTGATACAGAACGTATATCCTACTGATGTTGTCACCTACCTGATACAGAACGTATATCCTACTGATGTTGTCACCTACCTGATACAGAACGTATATCCTACTGATGTTGTCACCTACCTGATACAGAACGTATATCCTACTGATGTTGTCGTTGACTCGAACCGTGTCCCTCCACGACGCCAGCAGGTCCATCATGTTGGCCAGTGTGGACGGTGACCACCGACGTCTTTGGTTGAAGAATTCGTTGAAGGTTTCAGGGGCAAAGGTCAAGGCATCTGCTCCGGCGCTGTAGTCGATTCGGTGACCTTGTTGGAGAAGTAGCGTGCAGAGCCAGCGATCTTCGCCTAGGTATAGACAACAAGGATCAAACCTTTAGATATTGGAGGTATAGACAACAAGGATCAAACCTTTAGATATTGGAGGTATAGACAACAAGGATCAAACCTTTAGATATTGGAGGGATAGACAACAAGGATCAAACCTTTAGATATTGGAGGTATAGACAACAAGGATCAAACCTTTAGATATTGGAGGTATAGACAACAAGGATCAAACCTTTAGATATTGGAGGTATAGACAACAAGGATCAAACCTTTAGATATTGGAGGTATAGACAACAAGGATCAAACCTTTAGATATTGGAGGTATAGACAACAAGGATCAAACCTTTAGATATTGGAGGTATAGACAACAAGGATCAAACCTTTAGATATTGGAGGTATAGACAACAAGGATCAAACCTTTAGATATTGGAGGTATAGACAACAAGGATCAAACCTTTAGATATTGGAGGTATAGACAACAAGGATCAAACCTTTAGATATTGGAGGTATAGACAACAAGGATCAAACCTTTAGATATTGGAGGTATAGACAACAAGGATCAAACCTTTAGATATTGGAGGTATAGACAACAAGGATCAAACCTTTAGATATTGGAGGTATAGACAACAAGGATCAAACCTTTAGATATTGGAGGTATAGACAACAAGGATCAAACCTTTAGATATTGGAGGTATAGACAACAAGGATCAAACCTTTAGATATTGGAGGTATAGACATCAAGGATCAAACCTTTAGATATTGGAGGTATAGACAACAAGGATCAAACCTTTAGATATTGGAGGTATAGACAACAAGGATCAAACCTTTAGATATTGGAGGTATAGACAACAAGGATCAAACCTTTAGATATTGGAGGTATAGACAACAAGGATCAAACCTTTAGATATTGGAGGTATAGACAACAAGGATCAAACCTTTAGATATTGGACTCTAGATAGAAGGATTTAGATGTCATTCAAGTTTATAAAAGTTGTTTTAAGAATTAGTTTTATACTTAGATTGAAAGTGTGTATGTTAACAAACTTAATTTATTATTGAGGTCAACTGTTTTTTTTTAAATTCCTGAAATAACCGGGACGACAACAATCGAGCATAATTCAGTGAGAATAGTCTCATGTATCTCAACTCAGTAACCGTGGTATCACTAAGTCAGCTGTCATTTAATACCATAATCCCCCCTTCCGTTCTCTAGCGGAATTTGTAATGTCATGTTAGTGTTGTATTTATTCGTTTTCAATTTTAAATTAGTTAATCCCCCACCCCCTTTTTTATATTACTCCCTAGCCTAAATGGTGTCAACCTTTGTGATCTCGGTAACCCTCGCCTTGTGACGCAAGTGTTTGTAATCTAGCTCCATGTTTTGATATTGGGGGGAGGGGAGATTGTAGTGTCAGGTCAGTGAGGTGCAGGTGAGTAGTGAAGCCGCACCTTGCTCGAACTGGATGAAGTGCCGGGCCTCTGTAGGTTTGGTCGTGTACATCTTCATGACGTTGTCGTCCATGATGGCCGACCCCCGGAACAGACTGAAGCATCCGGGGCAGCACAGGACACACCCAAACACGTGCTCCGCGGCTTTCTGCAGCCAGTGACCAATGGCGTACTCGAACTGTTGGTACCACACCATGGGACCTGCGGACAGGAGATTTCTGAAAATTAAAATGTCATTATTCCAAGGGACGTTACTCGAACTGCTGGTACCAGCCGGGGGACAGGAGATTTCTGAAAATTAATGTCATTATTCCAAGGGACGTTACTCGAACTGTTGGTACCAGCCGGGGGACAGGAGATTTCTGAAAATTAATGTCATTATTCCAAGGGACGTAAACAAATCTGACATTCTAAATGTCACAACGACTTAGAACCAAATGAAAACGGTTGGTTTTGCTTTAATTCATATCTTCACACCAAGGGAAATAAACATTTTTTGTTAAATGTTAACACACCAAGGGACATAAACATTACACGATAAATGGCAACACAACAATGGACCTAAACATCATATTTTAAATGTCACAATATCAAAAAACCTAAAAACAATGACTTTAAAAACATTAATGTCATCACAACAGCGAACAAGGATGAATATAATTGAATTGTTTATTTTTTTTATGCTGAAGGAATCTAAGGAAACTTTTGTTTTTCACCACGACTTAAGATCTTAAAAAAACACATTTCTAAGCATATGCTAATCATGATGTTTGGTTGGTTTCTTTTTACTTTCTCGTATATACGAAATATAGAGAAAGTATTGTAATCGTGCAAAAAAAAATCGAGATTTTTTTCAAATCTCGTCGTTTTACTTCTCACTGATACGGAAAAACAACATTTTGCAATCTTGTCCGTATGTCTGTCTGTCTGTCTGTCCGTGTGTAAACACGATTACTTGAGTACCGTTACAGCTAGGTTGATGAAATTTCATATATAAGTATTTTATCAAAATCGTAGATCCGTATCAACTTTTGAGCGATTTCCGATAACCGGAAGTGGTACTTTTCCTACTTTGAATTTTTCAAAAGCCTACAACTTGAGTACTATTTCAGATAGATTAATGAAATTACACATGTAAGTAAAAGATCTAATTCTCTACCTTCTGTTAAATTTTGAGTAATTTCCGTTGACCGGAAGTAGTAATTTACGCTTCTTCCGATTTCTCAAAAAACGAATGTAAATTTTTAAAGTACTAATAATATTGCGCACTATTATGAACTTTTTTATTTGGCGTTCAATTGGTGTGCAATTCTTTTGTCTACGAGATTTTATTCTATTTTTAAAACTTTAAGTATTTAAAATGGATTAAAAATCATGACTATAGCCCGAGTTCCCATCCCATGTTATTTTATATAAGAATATTCGAGAAAGTTTTAGGGAGATCACTCCCGGTTTATTTATTTATAATTTTACAGATCATATGACATAAACCAGGGGTCGGCAACCTTTTGAGACGGAAGAGCCAAAAGTTACAATTTACAAAATGTCCCAGTTTTATAGAGCCACTAATATTTTTATTTCAATATTATGATATTTGATTAGGATTTTACAGACGTATATATATATATATATATATATATATATATATATATATATATATATATATATATATATATAAAATTTAAAATAAATAGCTTTCAATATGAAATAATATTTATTCAAATAAAAACATACACATGTTTCGATCAAAAAATATTACGGTATTTTAACTGGCCCTGCAAGAATGATAAAATCATTAATCTTATTATATAACTATAATTATTTTATAATATTTACAATAGTTTGGCCTTGCATGCCCTTTAAAAGTTTGTTTAAACCTGGCTCATAAGTTGTTTTCAGTTTCTTCAAGCACGCCTCTAGATTTTTATTTGTTAGTTGGCTTCTTTACTTCATGCAAGAAAACGCTTGCTCGCATGAATATGTGGACCCGAAGATCGTCAGCACTTCAAATGCCAACTTCTTTACCTCATTGTAGTATCCTGGAAGACTATTCCATGCGTCACATAATAGTGCCTCAACTCGCGGCATTTCTTTTAGAGCTGACTACTTGTGCAGCGAAACGTGCATGTTTTACTGGACCTCAAACTCTCCTAACTTGCTCTTAATATCTGTGAATTTACCACTCCAAAAAATGTTTGGTTTTTCAAATCCAGCAATTGCAATTGAAGCGAGCCAGCATCAATTCCAAATAGCTCAAACTCAAAGTTAATCTCATTTGTTTTTGTGTTGAGAGAATCTACTATGAACGTCAGAGTGCTTGCATTTGTTTTGAATTGATCAAATCTTTGAGTGAATCCATCCTTCATTGTGTTTATTGTAATGCTGAAGTAATTCATGTTAATAGTGGCATTGGTTACATCGTGATATTTTTTTCAGATTTTTCAAAATTAAATAATTTATTAATAATTTATTACTCTCCGTGTCTTCCGACAAAAAAAAAGATTTTTTTTAACAATCCACTTCTTCAAGCAAGGCATAGGCTGGATTTTCCTTTCCTTGCAGTTTTACATTTAGCACGTTTAGCTTCTTTGTGATATATCCACCTTGAATTTGAATGTTTCAATTTGGGATGGACAAGTACATTGAAAATAGGGAGTAACTAAACATTCTAAACAAATATCGAGCATTTATTGTTTATATTTATCATTATACGTTCAACACCAGAGTGTTGCAAAAAAATAATTATTAGTTTTAAAAAAAATATAAAAAATTATTAATATTAGTGCATGGAGCTGAAGAGCCGCATCTTGACATCAAAAGAGCCGCATAAACCGCAGGTTGCCGACCCCTGACATAAAATAAAGATATAAAAACAAATCTTCATTGTCCCCCTTTCCGCCGAATTCTTAAAGTGTTTTTTTTTTTTAAACAGAAAGTAAACACATTAACATTTTATGAAAGAAACGTTTCTATTGGACGCACCTGAACCAATGGGATGAATCCTACCACAGACGGCCCCGACTTTTTTGTTCTTCTTCATGCGGTCAATCAACAGCTTGACGGAGTCCGGCTTGAAGTCTACGTCACCGTCCAGCGTTAGGATAAAGGTGTTCTCGGAGGTTTCGATAATCTGGGGGAGTTCAATTCAAGGTCATGGATAGCAACAGAAAAATTAACCACATCTACCTGTTCATTTTTTTTTTCAGTTGTGACATCAATAGTATTCTTCTATCTGTTCATGTTGTTCTGATGTAAAATTAATAAACCGGGAGTGATCTCCCCTAAACTTTCTCGAATATTCTTATATAAAATAACAGGGGATGGGAACTCGGGCTATAGACATGATTTTTAATCCAATTTAAATACTTAAAGTTTTAAAAATAGAATAAAATCTCGTAGACAAATTAATTGCACACCAAGTGAACGCCAAATAAAAAAGCGCATAATAGTGCGCAATATTATTAGTACTTTTAAAATTTACATTAGTTTTTTGAGAAATCGGAAGTAGCGTAAATTACTACTTCCAGTCAACGGAAATTACTCAAAATTTAACAGAAGGTAGAGAATTAGATCTTTTACTTACATGTGAAATTTCATTTATCTATCTGAAATAGTACTCAAGTTATAGGCTTTTGAAAAATTCAAAGTAGGAAAAGTACCACTTCCGGTTATCGGAAATCGCTCAAAAGTTGAAACGGATCTACGATTTTGATAAAATACTTATATATAAAATTTCATCAACCTAGCTGTAACGGTACTCAAGTTATCGTGTTTACACACGGACAGACAGACAGACAGACAGACAGACAGACAGACACACAGACATACGGACAAGATTGCAAAATTATGTTTTTCCGTATCAGTGAGGTGTAAAACGATTACAAGACTTTCTCTATACTTCGTATATACGAGAAAGTAAAAATTAACCCTCTCTTCAGTTTTCATGTTCTTAGTCCTGGATTATAAATTAACCCACTTTACCTGTTTATATTCTTCTATTATTGCTTTATAAATTCACCCCCTCTACTTTTTTTATTTTCACCTAATACGACAGTATAAATTAATCCCCTCTACCTGCTCATTATACATGAACCCCCTCTACCCTCTACTACCCCCCTCTACCTTTTCGTTATAAATGAACCCCCTCTACCTCTTCATCAAAAACTAACTCCTCTACCTGCTCATCATAAACTAACCCCTTTACCTCTTCATCATAAACTAACCCCCCTGTACCTGCTCATCATAAACTAACCCCTCTACCTGCTCATCATAAACTAACCCCCCTCTACCTGCCCATTATAAACTAACCCCTCTACCTGCTCATCATAAACTAACCCCTCTACCTGCTCATCATAAACTAACCCCCCCCCTCTACCTGCTCATCATAAACTAACCCCTCTACCTGCCCATTATAAACTAACCCCTCTACCTCTTCATCATAAATTAACCCCCTCTACCTCCATTATAAACTAACCCCTCTACCTCTTCATCATAAATGAACCCCCTCTACATCCATTATAAACTAACCCCTCTACCTCTTCATCATAAATGAACCCCCTCTACCTCCATTATAAACTAACCCCTTTACCTCCATTATAAACTAACCCCCCTACCTGCTCATACTCCTCAGGTGGGACCCTCATCAGCAAGTTTTTGAGCGGCATGTTCTTCCTCTTCTTCTTGTCCCTCCTGGGTTTCTTGCGGTGCCTGACACTTGACCCATGACCCCTGGGGTGCTCCTCCGGCACGTCGCTGCCGTCCCCGACCCCCAGAAGTCTGAAGCCCAGCAGGTAGTACAGGTACATGACCTAGGTGAGACATGACCTTGTTTAACTATAATGTGCAGGTGAGACATGACCTAGGTGAGACATGACCTTGTTAACTTACAATGTGCAGGTGAGACATGACCTAGGTGAGACATGACCTTGTTAACTTACAATGTGCAGGTGAGACATGACCTTGGTGAGACATGACCTAGGTGAGGCATGACCTAGGTGAGGCATGACCCTAGTTAACTTACAATGTGCAGATCAGACATCACCTGTGTTAATTAAGCACGGGGTTTCTTTCATAAATTTGGCTCAGGTGGGGCACGACCGAGGAATGGGAAACTGACAATGGTTAAGTTATATATTTTTCTGTTTAAATTTAATATTCTCTCTATTTCGTCCGAGGGAGGGAGAGGCGTGGTCAATTTTCCCAAATCCCTCTACCTGCCCTCTCAGAGAAATGCGTGAGAGAAGCTCTGTAGGTAGGCTACCTGTTTTTTAGAACACGTCAAGCAATGACGGGTTTTTATAATAAAGCTTCATCTATCGTGTTGTTTGACTTTGTATAGACATTGTATAGATATTGTATAGACATTGTGTACACTTTTGTATACACTTTTTGTCTACATTGTATACATTTTGTGTACACATTATGTACACATTGTATACACATCTGACCGTATATCGCCTCGGCTATTTTGGACAGCGTGAAGATAAGTGTTCCCATAAATTATATACATGTAAAAATAAACGAGCTTTGACACATAATAACTTATTTTTTGTTCCGTTTCCTCATATTTGCCAGTCGTAATTTATAATTTATACTAACCCTGTTGCTTTTTCAGAAAGGTGTTAGGCTCGCATTATGCAAGAGCCAAAGTTTAAGGACAATCTATTGTGGTCTGATGCACAGGACGGATGGAAATTCCCCATTTTCTTGAGATTGTAAATGACAAGACTTACTGCATGAAGTATTAATTAAAACGGACGGGGGGGGGGGGGGGGGGGGTCCCCATTTACCTGTGACCATCTTTTCCTGTGTCTGATTTTCATTTTGTCCTTCAGGTGAACCACCATCTTTGTTTGTCCAGGCATAGTCCAGATCAGGCGACCTCCATACGGGGTCACGACCTTGACAGGAGACGGGATGATGATGTAACCTTTAACCACTGACCTAAAGTGTAGCGGAAGTTGACACAAATATTAATTCTGATTATTTTTAATCAAACCTGTATGGAATCGTTGTTCTAAATATAGGTTCGTCCATAAATTTCGTTAACCTCCAGAGGTGGAGGAAGGGTTCAGAATGGTGTGACATTGTGTGACGAGGGGGAGGAAGGGTTCAGAATGGTGTGACATTGTGTGACGAGGAGTAGGAAGGGTTCAGAATGGTGTGACATTGTGTGACGAGGGGTAGGAAGGGTTCAGAATGGTGTGACATTGTGTGACGAGGGGTAGGAAGGGTTCAGAATGGTGTGACATTGTGTGACGAGGTGGAGGAAGGGTTCAGAATGGTGTGACATTGTGTGACGAGGGGTAGGAAGGGTTCAGAATGGTGTGACATTGTGTGACGAGGTGGAGGAAGGGTTCAGAATGGTGTGACATTGTGTGACGAGGGGTAGGAAGGGTTCAGAATGGTGTGACATTGTGTGACGAGGTGGAGGAAGGGTTCAGAATGGTGTGACATTGTGTGACGAGGTGGAGGAAGGGTTCAGTTTTGTGATCATGTGTGACAAGACAAGGGAGAAGGTCTCAGAAAGTGTGACGTCACACTTTTGCATTTATTTATTTATTTATTTTTAAACTTAATTTTGCTGTTATTTTTACTTTATTAAAGAGACATCTATAAATTCTTGACTCTAAAGATCGACCAATATGAGACCTATTTAATGCTGAGACAACATAATTAGTATTTTACAAAGAAAAAAGTGTCTCAGTTACTTTTTAAAATTTATTTTAATTATTTAACGATCGTTAATGTAAAGTTCATTAAAGAGACTTTGGAAAACAGTCATTAAAACTATCTGGCCAGGTACGTCCTAGTTGAACTTCCATAAAATTCTGAATTGACATTCAGAGACAATGAATCGACTGAATACGTCATTTCCGGCCTGTCAATCAACCCGCGACTAAATTTAGACTTTGTTTACAAATTAACAATTCCCTCTCCCAACACTTGGGCTAATCCCATTTTTGTAATGTATTGCAACTTAACGCTAGAAAGGTTTCTTTGTCGCCAATTCTTCAATGGCAATGTTTACTCAAAGAGTTGAGTAAAATGTGTATTTGAAATGTTTTCTATTTTCGTTTAATTTAATTAATGTGTAATGTTCAGACTGTCGTATATAAATGCTTTATTTCCTGTCTTAACTTTATTAATCGCAAACGCCATCTCTCATTTCAGGTGGTTTATAAATAGATATTTTAAAAATACTGATTTGTTGATAAACGGTCAGAGATTTATTGTTATTTAAATCGCCCTCTAAAATCTAGAATATTAATGGAATAATTATTCATGTTACTCGTACATGTTATAGGCTTACACTCCCTTACCATTCAATCTACTTTATCTAGCAGTTTCAGTAGCACACACACACACACATATATACACATACATACATACACACACATATACACACACAAACACCTCTGAAGTAGTCCTCTCCCTTACCTTGGACGTAAGCATAACATTAACCCCCACAGAAAGCCCCCCCCCTACTTCCCCTTTAGTCAAGCCTCTATCAAAACCCCTCCTAGTCTTGAGTTAAAGGCCTTTAGTTTCATCCCATGCATGATTAATTGTACACGGCGTATTGACGCAGGCAAGCGGTCGTCAGGGATTAAAAGATAATCTCTCACACATTTAATCTCTCATACATTGATCTTACCCTACCTAGGATGGTCAGGCCTGAACAGGTAAAAATTTACCTGCCAGGTAACAATTTACCTGCCATGTAACAATTTACCTACCATGTAACAATTTACCTTCAATGTAACAATTTACATGCCATGTAACAATTTACATGACATATAATAATTTACATACCAGGTAACAATTTACCTTCCGTGTAACAATTTACGAGAGATGTAACAATGTACCTGCCATGTAACAATTTACCTGCCTTGTAACAATTTACGAGAGATGTAACAATGTCCCTGCCAGTTAACCTTTTACTTGCCTTAACTTAGACGACTAGTAAGTGTATTGGATTAATTCTTAAATCTTAAATGACAACACATTCAACTGATGTATACAGTCATTAGGGGGTTAAGTAAACAAAGGTTAATGAGTCACCTGGCGGCGTCTTCCATACAGTCGACAAACTGTTTGACAAACTGGTTGATCACAAACTTGTTTTTATCCAGGTCGATATCAAAGGCGTCGTCAAATATTATGTGAACTGGGGGGAAATCAAATGGAATGTGAATTAGGGGGGCGGGGGGAATCAAATATAATGTGGTCTAGAGGAGGTCAAATATAATGTGAGTTGGGGGAAATCAAATATAATATGAACTGGGGGAAATCAAATATAATGTGAACTGGCGGGGGGGGGGGGGGATAAAATATAATGTGAACCTGGGGGGGGGGGGTCAAATAGAATGTGAACTGGGGGGAAATCAGATATAATGTGAACTTTTGGAAAATCAAACATGTGAACTGGGGGGGGGGGGATCAGATATAATGTGAAATGGGAATTGTTTACCATGCAGATAATATTAAGCAAAAAACTATTTGCAAACGTTGTACAAACTAAACGATGACAATTGTTTTTAGCTGAGTCTTTGGTGTAATACCAGAGTGATTACTGAGACAGAACAAGACATAAATCCCCCATTTGAGTACTAAGACACAATAAGACTTTCTCTCATGTAAGTACTGAGTCAAAGCAGGACATAAACCCCCCATGTAAGTACTGAGATATAGTAAGACTTACTCTCCATATCGAAGTAGTCAGGGTCCCGGATGTTGAACTTGGCCTGGGCGAGTTTACTGGCACAGTGGCTGTAGTCCAGCCTGGTGTGGGAGAGAAATTAAAACTCTTTAAACTAATTACAGGCCGTCTTTTATTTTATCCAGACAGTTATTTTGATAATTAAATCGCTATTAATTATTTTAGTAATTTTTAAATCATGGGATATACAAAGCCATACGTGAGTGGGTTCCAGAGTTTCTTCCTGGCATTTTTTCGCCCCCCCCCCCCCCCCGAATGAAACTGTATATAGAAAACATATACTTTTACCAGTGTCCGCCGCCCCCCCCCCCTCTCCGGAAAATTTAGTCCGCCCCCCTCCCCCGAAAATATCATGTGCAACCCCCCACCCCCCGGGGAAGAAACACTGTTGGGTTCTATCCACCACCCATCACCCCAACACACACCCCCTTGTAACGCCCATTTTGACGGTAAAGACTGACCTGAAGAGAGACTTCAACAACTGGGTCATCTCTCGCTTCGTCTCGTGCCACATGGTGGCGCACACGTAGATGGTCGGCGTGACGTTGTTGTCCTCGGGTAGGACGTAGCCCTCGGGCGTCACGTGGTCGCCGGCGTCGTCGCCCATGTAGGTGAAGTGTTCGAACCTGGTGGCGCGCAGTTCCTGGTCGTTGCGGCGTCGGCGTAGGGTTAGGTTGAAGTCGGTGAAGATGGCGTTAAAATGGGGCGTTAAAAACAACCTGGGTAGACAATAGTGTACGGTCGGGTTAAAGTCGTTAAAAACAACATGCGTTTAAATGTGACGTTAAACACTGTGTTTCCTAAGAGATAATTTTCAATCTCAGCTTTACTTTTCTATTATATAATAACTTTTCTATTTAGGCCTTAATTGTGTTGCCTTCCTTTTCAATCGTATCTTTTCATTTTTATCATCTCCCTAATTATAATTTTTACCTATCTTGGTGTTACTTTTCTATTTTGGCCTTACTTTTCTATTTTGGCCTTTATTTTTCTTTTTTGGCCTTTACTTTTCTATTTTGGCCTTACTTTTCTATTTTGGCCTTACTTTTCTATTTTGGCCTTACTTTTCTATTTTGGCCTTACTTTTCTATTTTGGCCTTACTTTTCTAACTTGGCCTTACTCTTCTATTTTGGCCTTACTTTTCTATTTTGGCCATCCGCTCACTCTTCGGGAACCAGATGTGAGAGACGATGATACAGTAAGAGAGCCAGAGAGCGCCGGCAACTGCGATTGGTTGGATTAAGTTCTCTATCTGCATGTTGGGGCAGTACCAGACTCCAGTGTGCCAGGTGACAGGTAGAAACTGGGGATTAAAGTAAATTATTGATGTGCCAGTTTACGGGCAGAAACTGGGGATTAAAGTAAATTATTGATGGGCCAGTTTACATGCAGAAACTGGGGATTAAAGTAAATTATTGATGTGTCAGTTTACAGGTAGAAACTGGGGATTAAAGTAAATTATTGATGTGTCAGTTTACAGGTAGAAACTGGGGATTAAAGTAAATTATTGATGTGTCAGTTTACAGGTAGAAACTGGGGATTAAAGTAAATTATTGATGTGTCAGTTTACAGGTAGAAACTGGGGATTAAAATAAATTATTGAGGTGTCAGATAGTGGGAGTAATGTGTTGTAAAAATAATTAAACACATGGACAAAGTTGTAACCTACACATGGACACAGACGTTACCTACAAATTAACAAAGATGTGACTTGCATATTAACATAGACGTGATCTAGACAAGAACACATCTGAGTAACATAAGAACACATGATTCCTTATAGAAAGACGCTAGTACAATGTATAATATTATCGAGGTATTTCTCATAACATCGGTGTTTTAAAATCTTGGTGCCTGTAGATGGCTGGTTTAGACGACCAATACGATCAGATAAGGTTAGCATACGAGACCAGCTTTAAAGTTTTGATTAGTTGGGTGATGTCTAGAAAAGTGATACAAATTAAAATAGTTCAGATCCGCCCCACCAAATTTTCAAATTGAAAAAGTGTAAATTTACGCAAGAATAATGTTTACGTGAAAAATTTAACCAATATTCTGTCCTAAAATAAAATTAAAATTGTAAGAAGAGCTTAAGTTACCTCGTATCGGCACTGGAGGTAGACCAGTACTAGAGAGGCGGGTGGGGACAGGATCAAAGGAAAAGCGAATGCCGCCTTCTGCATGTGTAGCTTACAGGCCAGTCCAGACAGGTAGGTGCAAAATATGGCCGAGCCAATGGTGATGTACATCAAGCTGTTCAAATTAAAGTAATGTCATTCTGTTTAAGGTACATTTAAAGTAAAGAATATACAAATTACGCTTATCAAAAACATTTTGACAGGTTGAACAATACGAGAGTAGCATGACGATTTATATAGAAATTTAACTAAAAGTGTGTATGGGGGGGAAAGGTTTCTGTGTTTGTGTTCGATTTTTATGTCCTTTTTTGTGTGTATTTGTACGATGTGTATGAGTTTATGTGTATTTTTGTGCCTGTGTATTTAGTGCGGTTTTTTTTGTTGCTACGTGCATGGGTTGTTGTATTCTCATTATGTGTGTTTGTATAATTGTATGTGAATGTGTGCTATTTTCTAATGTGCATTTTTGTTTGTATTTCTGTCATGTAGTTATGTGTGTATTGTCTGAGTTGTACCTGTAGTTGATGGCGTGGAACTCCGCTTCCGTTTTCTTTGTACTTTTGCTCCAAGACGGCAGAGAAAAGTCTGCATCAGCCAAATACTTGCCCAGAAGTACCACCAAGGCTATTTTAAACGGGCCAATCAGAAAGTAGCTTGTTTCCCGAGTTTGCTAGACCACAACGACAATAAAATCAAATATTAACATTTTGAATTAAATAAATATTTTTTGTAAAAACATTTCACGATGAGATACGGTAAATGGACTATACGTTCGTCACTATGGCAACCATACCTGCAGCAGGTGTCGCCAGTGCTTGAAGGAGATGTTGACCCGGCCGAAGAGTGACCAGTCGCTGGACACGTAGTTCTCCCACCAACCCAGGGAGACCAGAATTAAGGCCACGGGGAATTCCCAAACAAAATTGTGCAGGAGGGTCTGTTCAACTTGGTGCTCGTTGGAGTAGCTGAAAGGTTGGTTAGAAAAAATAACTGTGTTGTGGTAGCTGAAATGTTGGTTAGATAGAAAAAATAACTGTGTTGGGGTAGCTGAAATGTTGGTTAGATAGAAAAAAATAACTGTGTTGTGGTAGCTGAAATGTTGGTTAGATAGAAAAAATAACTGTGTTGGGGTAGCTGAAATGTTGGTTAGATAGAAAAAATAACTGTGTTGGGGTAGCTGAAATGTTGGTTAGATAGAAAAAATAACTGTGTTGGGGTAGCTGAAATGTTGGTTAGATAGAAAAAAATAACTGTGTTGGGGTAGCTGAAATGTTGGTTAGATAGAAAAAATAACTGTATTGGGGTAGCTGAAATGTTGGTTAGATAGAAAAAATAACTGTGTTGGGGTAGCTGAAATGTTGGTTAGATAGAAAAAATAACTGTGTTGGGGTAGCTGAAATGTTGGTTAGATAGAAAAAATAACTGTGTTGGGGTAGCTGAAATGTTGGTTAGATAGAAAAAATAACTGTGTTGGGGTAGCTGAAATGTTGGTTAGATAGAAAAAAATAACTGTGTTGGGGTAGCTGAAATGTTGGTTAGATAGAAAAAATAACTGTATTGGGGTAGCTGAAATGTTGGTTAGATAGAAAAAATAACTGTGTTGGGGTAGCTGAAATGTTGGTTAGATAGAAAAAATAACTGTGTTGGGGTAGCTGAAATGTTGGTTAGATAGAAAAAATAACTGTGTTGGGGTAGCTGAAATGTTGGTTAGATAGAAAAAATAACTGTGTTGGGGTAGCTGAAATGTTGGTTAGATAGAAAAAATAACTGTGTTGGGGTAGCTGAAATGTTGGTTAGATAGAAAAAATAACTGTGTTGGGGTAGCTGAAATGTTGGTTAGATAGAAAAAAATAACTGTGTTGGGGTAGCTGGAATGTTGGTTAGATAGAAAACATAACTGTGTTGGGGTAGCTGAAATGTTGGTTAGATAGAAAAAATAACTGTGTTGGGGTAGCTGAAATGTTGGTTAGATAGAAAAAATAACTGTGTTGGGGTAGCTGAAATGTTGGTTAGATAGAAAAAATAACTGTGTTGGGGTAGCTGAAATGTTGGTTAGATAGAAAAAATAACTGTGTTGGGGTAGCTGAAATGTTGGTTAGATAGAAAAAATAACTGTGTTGGGGTAGCTGAAATGTTGGTTAGATAGAAAAAAATAACTGTGTTGGGGTAGCTGGAATGTTGGTTAGATAGAAAAAATAACTGTGTTGGGGTAGCTGAAATGTTGGTTAGATAGAAAAAATAACTGTGTTGGGGTAGCTGAAATGTTGGTTAGATAGAAAAAATAACTGTGTTGGGGTAGCTGAAATGTTGGTTAGATAGAAAAAAATAACTGTGTTGGGGTAGCTGGAATGTTGGTTAGATAGAAAAAAATAACTGTGTTGTGGTAGCTGAAATGTTGGTTAGATAGAAAAAATAACTGTGTTGGGGTAGCTGAAATGTTGGTTAGATAGAAAAAATAACTGTGTTGGGGTAGCTGAAATGTTGGTTAGATAGAAAAAAATAACTGTGTTGGGGTAGCTGGAATGTTGGTTAGATAGAAAACATAACTGTGTTGGGGTAGCTGAAATGTTGGTTAGATAGAAAAAATAACTGTGTTGGGGTAGCTGAAATGTTGGTTAGATAGAAAAAATAACTGTGTTGGGGTAGCTGAAATGTTGGTTAGATAGAAAAAATAACTGTGTTGGGGTAGCTGAAATGTTGGTTAGATAGAAAAAAATAACTGTGTTGGGGTAGCTGGAATGTTGGTTAGATAGAAAAAATAACTGTGTTGGGGTAGCTGAAATGTTGGTTAGATAGAAAAAATAACTGTGTTGGGGTAGCTGAAATGTTGGTTAGATAGAAAAAATAACTGTGTTGGGGTAGCTGAAATGTTGGTTAGATAGAAAAAATAACTGTGTTGGGGTAGCTGAAATGTTGGTTAGATAGAAAAAATAACTGTGTTGGGGTAGCTGAAATGTTGGTAAGATAAAAAAAAATAACTGTGTTGGGGTAGCTGAAATGTTGGTAAGATAAAAAAAAATAACTGTGTTGGGGTAGCTGAAATGTTGGTTAGATAGAAAAAAATAACTGTGTTGGGGTAGCTGGAATGTTGGTTAGATAGAAAAAATAACTGTGTTGGGGTAGCTGAAATGTTGGTTAGATAGAAAAAATAACTGTGTTGGGGTAGCTGAAATGTTGGTTAGATAGAAAAAATAACTGTGTTGGGGTAGCTGAAATGTTGGTTAGATAGAAAAAATAACTGTGTTGGGGTAGCTGAAATGTTGGTTAGATAGAAAAAATAACTGTGTTGGGGTAGCTGAAATGTTGGTTAGATAGAAAAAATAACTGTGTTGGGGTAGCTGAAATGTTGGTTAGATAGAAAAAATAACTGTGTTGGGGTAGCTGAAATGTTGGTTAGATAGAAAAAATAACTGAGTTGGGGTAGCTGAAATGTTGGTAAGATAAAAAAAAATAACTGTGTTGGGGTAGCTGAAATGTTGGTTAGATAGAAAAAAATAACTGTGTTGGGGTAGCTGGAATGTTGGTTAGATAGAAAAAATAACTGTGTTGGGGTAGCTGAAATGTTGGTTAGATAGAAAAAATAACTGTGTTGGGGTAGCTGAAATGTTGGTAAGATAAAAAAAAATAACTGTGTTGGGGTAGCTGAAATGTTGGTTAGATAGAAAAAATAACTGTGTTGGGGTAGCTGAAATGTTGGTTAGATAGAAAAAATAACTGTGTTGGGGTAGCTGAAATGTTGGTAAGATAAAAAAAAATAACTGTGTTGGGGTAGCTGAAATGTTGGTTAGATAGAAAAAAATAACTGTGTTGGGGAGCTGGAATGTTGGTTATAAAAGATTTTAGGTAGAGGTAGACTTATTAAGCTCATACACTTATGAATCTAACAGAGCTATGAGGCTCAGAGAGTGTATTAAGCGCATGCTCTTTTGAAACTCATAGACTGTAGGCCTATATAGTATATGCTGTGTTAAGTTCATTGACTGATGAAGTTCAAAATTTTATGGAGCACAAAGACTTTATATACCTGATAGACTTCATAAAGCTGACAGACTGTATGTAGATAATATACTGTATACAGCTGACAGACTGTATCTAGATAATATACTGTATAAAGCTGACTGACAGTATCTATCTCGACTTACTCATGCCCTGACATTGTCTTGCCGTACTTCTCCGTAGAGAAGTCCATCAGCATGAAGTAGACCAGGGCCCCCACCTGCATCAACATGGCCAGGACGGAGCAGATCATCTTGACCATAGACTTAAAGCCACAGGTCAGTTTCTTGTCCATCATCATCACCTAGGCAAGAACGTACAGGCTTGTAAGAATGGTAGTCAAGTAAATATAAGAATTTTTTAGTTCGCTTCAAATATAGATTTTAAAATTAGTTTCATATATAGATTCCAGCGATGCGTAAGTTCTATAACCAGCTTTTAAAAGTCATTCCTTTTTTTAAATACTGAATAATTCTAGGTCTATAAAATGTAGTTATCTGTTAACTAATGGTAATGGGTTTATGAAAAAAGTAGTTTATGTGTTATGATATAAAAAATTGTTTCTAAAAACTTAGTTCCTGTGTTATGTAGCAGGGTAGAATAATGGGAGAGAAATAATCCACCTGATATGTATCAAGAAAAAAAGTAGTTCCTCAATTTAAAAAATAGTTCCTCGATGAAAAAGAAAAAGTAGTTCCTTTATAAAAAAAAAAGTTCTTGTTTTACCTGGAGGATGCTGGGTATCTGGAACATGGCAAAGGTCACGGTGATGCCCCGGAAGAAATCGACAGACGGCAGGATCTTAAAGACCAGCAGACACATCCCAAAGGTCGTGACCAGCTCAAAGAACAGCATCTGGAAGCCAATGTCAAGGTCACTGTTAAGGTACAGGTAACTGTAAAGCCGTAAATCCTTAAAGCCCTACCTTTATTCTTGTACAACCCAATGCTACGGAAACTTTAATTAATAAATTATATTAATTAATTTTTGTAAATTATATCTGTAAGGCTTCTTAAGAATCATATATTTTGTCTTTTTGTGTAGTTTTTAACCACAATGTTGTGTGTTGACGAAGACCTTGGGTCGAAACGTCCATTGTACTTGTAATTGTATTTAATTTGAGAGGATACTAACATCACCTATTTTATTACTATATTTTGGGAATAAAAAACAAAACAGTCTCTAAATGGAATAGTTACCACAGCAAATGTTTTGATGGACGGCCATTCTTTCCCGCCAAAAAGTATTTTCATGAAGGCATTCAACCAGTTGAAGACAATGGGAGCACAAATACAGAACATGATGAGGACCACGCTCTTTCCTCGAGATTCTTTGGTCTGGTGGGGAATAATTTGGGTGAGTAAGTCAATGGTCGAGTGGGTAGTCGTAAGTCAATGGTCGAGTGGGTAGTCGTAAGTCAATGGTCGAGTGGGTAGTCGTAAGTCAATGGTCGAGTGGGTAGTCGTAAGTCAATGGTCGAGTGGGTAGTCGTAAGTCAATGGTCGAGTGGGTAGTCGTAAGTCAATGGTCGAGTGGGTAGTCGTAAGTCAATGGTCGAGTGGGTAGTCGTAAGTCAATGGTCGAGTGGGTAGTCGTAAGTCAATGGTCGAGTGGGTAGTTGTAAGTCAATGGTCGAGTGGGTAGTCGTAAGTCAATGGTCGAGTGGGTAGTCGTAAGTCAATGGTCGAGTGGGTAGTCGTAAGTCAATGGTCGAGTGGGTAGTCGTAAGTCAATGGTCGAGTGGGTAGTCGTAAGTCAATGGTCGAGTGGGTAGTCGTAAGTCAATGGTCGAGTGGGTAGTCGTAAGTCAATGGTCGAGTGGGTAGTCGTAAGTCAATGGTCGAGTGGGTAGTTGTAAGTCAATGGTCGAGTGGGTAGTCGTAAGTCAATGGTCGAGTGGGTAGTCGTAAGTCAATGGTCGAGTGGGTAGTCGTAAGTCAATGGTCGAGTGGGTAGTCGTAAGTCAGTGGTATCGTTCACGTAAAGCAGAAGTGGAACAAAAGCAACACTAAACTAACAATAACAATAAAGTAATAGTAAATTTACATTAACGTAACATACATAAAGGTAACGTAACAGTACAATTTTATATTGAAGTAAGTTAATACTAGAGTAGTAATAAACTTTAAGAAGGACAACATTAATGTAACAGAAAAGTAACACTAAATTAACAGTAAAATAATAGTATTACAAAAATAGTTAAAGCAAAAATAACGAATAATAGGTTAACTGTAAAATAACAATATAGTAACAGTATAGTAAATGTAAAATAACTGTAAAATAACAGTAAATGTATAGTAATTATAAAATTAAATATAAAGTAACTGTAAAGTAGTAGCAATGTCAAATTGTGCTAAATAGGATTCAAACTGGCTTATAATCGCCAATGTTACTTTTGTCTTTGCTAAATTAAAATATCAAATATTTAAAAATGTAAAAGCGTCAACGTTTTATTTAGTTCCCATGGTAACTAAGCAAGTCTACACAAAGACAAGCAGTCAGAGTTTCTTCCAGGCAACCCCCCCCCCTCCCTTCCCCCTGAGGAAAGTCTGCCGCCCCCTCCCCCCCCCCCCCCCCCCCCCCCGAACGAAATGGAATTTATATAGAAAACATACACTTTTACCAGTGTCCGCCCCTCCCCATTCGGAATATGTCCTCTCCCCCCCCCCCCCCCCCCAAAAAATATCAAGCCCCCCCCCCCCCCCCCCCCGGAGAAAAAGTCTGGAAGCAACACTGCCAGCAGTAAACTAGAGCTAGAGCCTGACCTGACTGATATCACTAGCCAGCAGGAAGAGCGAGACACGGCTGGACACGGTCCCCACCAGCATGATTAGGACGATGAGGATGTACAGTGACCCCCTGATGACCTTGAGAATTTCCTTAAACACCTTGTTGTCGTCTTCGGCCTCTCGTTCGGACACCGTGAAGATGTCGTACGGTCGCCTGCACGGTCAAGAGAATGTTAGTGATTACATGGGGGTTTGTGGACAATTTGTAATCACATGGGGGTTTGTGGACAACTTGTTGATACATGACATTACAACATTTGGTATGGTTGCGGCTGATGTTAGTCACCGCTAAATAAAATCTCCGCAATGGCTTAGTTTTGCTATAGTGTTTGGTTGTCTATGACAAGTCATGAGCTTACTCACCATTTTATCCCCTACACAACTAGAGTCACTCACCATTTTATCCCCTACACAACTAGAGTCACTCACCATTTTATCCCCTACACAACTAGAGTCACTCACCATCCCCTACACAACTAGAGTCTTTCACCATTTTATCCCCTACACAACTAGAGTCACTCACCATCCCCTACACAACTAGAGTCACTCACCATTTTATCCCCTACACAACTAGAGTCACTCACCATTTTATCCCCTACACAACTAGAGTCACTCACCATTTTATCCCCTACACACCTAGAGTCACTCACCATTTTATCCCCTACACACCTAGAGTCTTTCACCATTTTATCCCCTACACACCTAGAGTCACTCACCATTTTATCCCCTACACAACTAGAGTCACTCACCATTTTATTCCCTACACAACTAGAGTCACTCACCATCTCCTACACAACTAGAATCACTCACCATTTTATCCCCTACACAACTAGAGTAACTCACCATTTTATCCCCTACACAACTAGAGTCACTCACCATTTTATTCCCTTCACAACTAGAGTCACTCACCATTTTATCTCCTACACAACTAGAGTCACTCACCATTTTATCCCCTACACAACTAGAGTCACTCACCATTTTGTCCCCTACACAACTAGAGTCACCATTTAATCCCCTACACAACTAGAGTCACTCACCATTTTATCCCCTACACAACAGGAGTCACTCACCATCTCATACACAACTAGAGTCACTCACCATTTTATCCCCTACACATCTAGAGTCGCCATTTTATCCCCTACACAACTAGAGTCACTCACCATTTTATCCCCTACACAACTAGAGTCACTCACCATTTTATCCCCTACACAACTAGAGTCACTCACCATCCCCTACACAACTAGAGTCACTCACCATCCCCTACACAACTAGAGTCACTCACCATTTTATCCCCTACACAAATAGAGTCACTCACCATTTTATCCCCTACACAACTAGAGTCACTCACCATTTTATCCCCTACACAACTAGAGTCACTCACCATCCCCTACACAACTAGAGTCACTCACCATCCCCTACACAACTAGAGTCACTCACCATTTTATCCCCTACACAACTAGAGTCACTCACCATCCCCTACACAACTAGAGTCACTCACCATTTTATCCCCTACACAACTAGAGTCACTCACCATTTTATCCCCTACACAACTAGAGTCACTCACCATTTTATCCCCTACACAACTACAGTCACTCACCATTTTATCACCTACACAACTAGAGTCACTCACCATCCCCTACACAACTAGAGTCACCATTTTATCCCCTACACAACTAGAGTCACTCACCATCCCCTACACAACTAGAGTCACTCACCATTTCCTACACAACTAGAGTCACTCACCATCCCCTACACAACTAGAGTCACTCACCATCCCCTACACAACTAGAGTCACTCACCATTTTATCCCCTACACAAATAGAGTCACTCACCATTTTATCCCCTACACAACTAGAGTCACTCACCATCCCCTACACAACTAGAGTCACTCACCATCCCCTACACAACTAGAGTCACTCACCATCCCCTACACAACTAGAGTCACTCACCATTTTATCCCCTACACAACTAGAGTCACTCACCATCCCCTACACAACTAGAGTCACTCACCATCCCCTACACAACTAGAGTCACTCACCATTTTATCCCCTACACAACTAGAGTCACTCACCATTTTATCCCCTACACAACTACAGTCACTCACCATTTTATCACCTACACAACTAGAGTCACTCACCATCCCCTACACAACTAGAGTCACTCACCATTTTATCCCTTACACAACTAGAGTCACTCACCATTTAATCCCCTACACACCTAGAGTCACTCACCATCCCCTACACAACTAGAGTCACTCACCATTTTATCCCTTACACAACTAGAGTCACTCACCATTTTATCCCTTACACAACTAGAGTCACTCACCATTTTATCCCCTACACAACTAGAGTCACTCACCATCCCCTACACAACTAGAGTCACTCACCATCCCCTACACAACTAGAGTCACTCACCATTTAATCCCCTACACAACTAGAGTCACTCACCATCCCCTACACAACTAGAGTCACTCACCATCCCCTACACAACTAGAGTCACTCACCATCCCCTACACAACTAGAGTCACTCACCATCCCCTACACAACTAGAGTCACTCACCATCCCCTACACAACTAGAGTCACTCACCAGGTGGGGTCGTCCTCCTCCTCATGCTCCTCAACATTTTCGTCATCAGTCTTGGCCACTGACTCGGCGTCATCCTTGTTTTTCTTCAGGAAGTTGCTGGACATGTCGTATGATATGCCTGACTCGGAGTCAGAGTAATCTGGGTCAGGATCATCGGAGTCTTTGCTGGCCCCATGCTTAGTGGGTCGTGTCTATGAGGGGGGGGGGTGGAATATAAGTAAAAACGCCTCTGACTTTGTAAACAGGAACCTATTTTTAAACTTATATTTTTATTTTTTATCACGTGCCTTTAAAAATATGTTAATGTTAGTTTGAGATATTGGTGTGCGAATTTCAGGGTGTTTAACGTTTGTGATAGTTGCATGTGTTGAGTCATTACCACGTTAATTATTTTAATGTTTTTTAAGGTTTTGTAAAGTATAATTTTTGTTTCTCTTTCTTATAAACACAGATTAAATTACATTTTAAAGAATTTTCAAATTTTAAAAGAAAAACAGAAATATTGTATTATTTACAGGGCTTGATTAAATATCTTGATTAGACACACCAATTAGAGACCTTAATAAAACAAACAGTTTAGAACATAAACTTTACTTTACAATGTAACCAATGCAAAAATTAGTCAGCTTTTTCAACCCTCAAATCCTTTAACCATAAAAAAAACACTCCTAAAACGTATTGAGTTCTAGATAGTTCGCCGAGTACACTCGTCAAAAAAAAAAAGTTAAAAATAGTTTTGTCTACATGGCGGGGAGATTTGATCAGCCAATGGTTGATCTGATATAAGTGGCGGTTAGAGCTGGCGGCAGTGGCAAATACTTTTCCTGGTTAGTTGTCGATACACACAATATAACCATCATAGTGTATAGATAGTCTCTCTCTCTCTCTCTCTCTCTCTCTATATATATATATATATATATATATATATATATATATATCACCCCATGCGAATGGCTATCTCTGTTTTTGTCAATGATCAGATCACTGAGTAACAAATAGATATACACGCACTTCCTGTGTGGATCAGACGACTAACTCAATGATAATTGCTCCGTCTCTAAGCAGTTTGAATCTATAAATAGAATAACAAAAGGAAGGAAACGAAATTTTAAACTGATTTCCGCCATTAAAAAAATAACATGAAACCTACAGTTCGCGACACATCGCATAGGAATTTAAAATAAATATTAGGCCTATAGGTTTAATACATATTGCTTAGAATATAGAAATTTAGATCTAGTGTTCTGGTTAGTAGTTATTTCATGTTTATTAGAATATAGTCTAGAATCTAATCATACGGCTGCATAAAAAGAAAGTTTGAAGGAAATAGAATAGGAATCATCTAGAGAAGCGGAGGTAAGAAGGTTAAATTAGTAATTTACATGATTTTTATTGTAGTTTCACTGTTTGTTAGGCCCAATTATTAAATCTTTAGATCAGAGGTCCAGCTTGATCATGTGTGGTATCTATTGTGGTGCATTGGAATGAAAAGCCCACATACTTAAATATAGAATCTAGTAGGCCTATACTATAACTGTACTGCCCTATGCCTATACTTTAAATTTGTTGCCACAAGAAAAAAGCCTATTTACTATTAGGCCTATTAGTTATAATTTAATTAAATTGAAATATTTGATTATCTTTATAGTTTATAGTGAATGCATGCTAATGAGCATTATTCAAGCTGCTGTTATATTTAGGCTCATAGGCCTGTATACTCTATAGCTTAGGCTATATACTATAGACTATATATTATACCAATATTGTGCATAAAACTTAAAGCATGTAAGCATACACAATAATAATTATCATTAGACCTATTGTAACTTAGACTCGTACTATTTAGTACTACTTTAATACGACCTTTAAACTATTAGGCATAATGAAATAATGATTAATGATTTCAGTGTTTTCCGCACTCGAGAGGAAAGAGGTTGCAGGGAACTTAGAGACTAATCTTTGCCAACATACTGGATTTCTGGTGATGACAATAGCAGCAGATAGTATGCGGCTCAGTTAATACTAAAAACAATTGATTTTAGTAATTAGTGGTAAGCTCTTTAAAATAATATATTATAACATGGTATCGCAAAGGTTCAGGTTGTCCAATAAATGGTAATTAGAGTCAGGTTTAGGACTATAGTTTAATGCTTGGTTAGTAATATGCATCAAGTTGGGAAAGACATAGAAATGGAAATACATAGAATTTAATGTGTTCATTCGCAAACGTTACTATTTAATTTTTTTTAGGCCTGCTATTTATTGCTGAATAATAAAATCACTATACTTATCCACTATATTATGTTTAAATAAAGTGAGTTTAGATCAGTCGAGTAAATAAATTTAATAGCAAGACATAGCTAAAATAGCAATCATATACAGACCAAACATTACTTTGTATTGTGTCTACAACTTAACGAAAAATGCTACTACTTTGATGGATTGCACTAAATAGGGGTTAGCTTTAATTCAATAATTTGTGAGATATTCTTGCTAATCTATGTGTAAATTGCTTTTCAGGACTATGAGTGTGTGTTTGGCCATCCAGATTTCATAACTACAACTGATGTTCAATTACAAGGGATATTAATCAGTCTCCCTGGAATATACACTGTGCCTAGTTTCATCCTCAGGTAACTGTACTATAGGCATAACCCATTTTTTAAAGTAATTATTATAGCAAGAGATAGCATTGTATGTTATTATAAATATAATGGATTTTAATCCAAAATATTTTATTAATTATTGTCTTTTTTTAAATTCTAATAAATCAGTGAGTTGTACAACATAGAGGGTATTATATTTGAATGATAATTGAAACACATATTGTTATAGAGCTCAAAACTATGTACTTATCTAATATAATTAATATACTGAAACAGTTTTATTGAAGCATATTATTTCATATTTTACCACACAGAGACTGATGTGTAAGCTTAAAGTAAAGACATCAAATCAAAGTATCAGCCATCAAGAGGGTAAATATTGATAGTCTACTTCATTAATCTTCAATATGAATGAACACAATTTTAAATCTATAATCTTTGCTGATAATGTTTGTTTCTTGTTATTCATCATGTTCAGTGCTTTATCTTTTCAAAGTAATTAGTTATAGTAAAGAAATATTAGAGATAGTAATATAAATTTGTAATGTATTTTGCTTGCAAGTTCCACAAAAGAAAGTATCAAAATATTTTGCCTTTATTTCATTTACAGAAAAACATTCAAAATCATATTGTGATACACAAGTCAAGCAAGTCTGACCAGCATTTTGATACAGGCCAAGAAAAAGCTGGATACTTGATTGGAAGGGTCGCACAAAAAACATGGGTTATCACTAGGGAAACAAGCTCGCAATACAGTTCACTGTTAGGACAGCAAGCCAAATACTTCTAAACTTATTTGAATCATTTTTGCTGTTTATTATAATTCATCCAATTGTCTTATTAAATATATACATTTATATATATACACAATTCCTAATATAGAATTTCTAAAAATGTTTTATTATAATATTTAAAATGAAACAAACATGTTCCCAGAACACAGCCACATAATGTCAACATGTTCCCAGAACACAGCCACATAATGTCAACATGTTCCCAGAACACAGCCACATAATGTCAACATGTTCCCAGAACACAGCCACATAATGTCAACATGTTCCCAGAACACACAAAATGGCAACATGTGCCGAGAACACAATGACAACATGTGCCGAGAACAATGCCCCTTACAGATGACATGTTCCCAGAACACAGCCCGTAGTTAACAATACTTTACTTTTTCCTTAACAATTTTGCAAGCAGGTAATAAAGCCATACATCTTTACTGTGGATATAGCCAATAAATAGGGTAACCTTCACTATATGCAATTTGTAGTTTTCAATGCCTGTCCCATGCATATTATTTAGCCTATTGTTTTGGGTCTTGCTTCATTTACTCAATAAATTATATAGGCATGAGAATTTTCATTTTAATCTGCAAAAGCTACATTCTGTACATTATTATTTCCAAACTACATCATATATTTTTCTCTTCTCTGATAAAAAATATTCCTCATATTGTTTGTGTCAAGTATTTTATTTTTATCTATGCAATGCTGTATTCTTATTTTATAATAATTACTTTTATACAAATTCTTTTGAAAACTGTTCTTTATTGATTTGTATCATTTTCTTTATTTCTGAAAAATAAAACTTTGTTTGGGAATCCTTTTTTTGTTTCTGTACAAATTAATAAACATAAATACCTACCAGGCTTAATATCCAGCAACATTAAACAATTAAGTAGGGCCTATTGTTAGTAATGGTAAATTATATACTAATTAATGTGATTTCTCCTGGCCACCTTGTTCTGAATACCTTCAACTGTGTCAATGTTGCTACCAACTCCAATAATTAAAACTGAAGCCATTTACTATGAAGTAAAACTTGGGTGTAATCCAAATCCACCCAGTTGCCGGGGGCAAGGTACCAAACATGATGTCCAGTAGAGGGTTAAGAAAGTATCATTATTAAATCACTATTAAACCCCTCCTCGCCTACGCCATTGCTTGTATGCATATGGACGTTATCGGAATTTACTGTATTGCTTATAAGTCGAAAATGCGAAAAAGACACGTTTAACATTACTAGTTTGAAGAATAACATTCATGTTAGCCGAAACAGGTGTATTCTAAAGTTGTTTAAATTCATTTTATTGTTCATTACGATTATGATGTCGTAAAATATAGGCCTATTTAAAAAAAGCATAACTAAAAAGTGTTTAAACGCATTTTCTTCTTAGAAAAGCCGCACATGCATGATATCATTAACATTACGGCAAATCAAACCCTTGAAGAAGCCCCATCAACCATTCAATTATTACGATGGGCAACAAATAAAACGCCCGCATCAAGGTACAGTCCTTATGCTATCGACATTAGCTCAACCCCGGCAACTAACGTGTCCCAAAACCAAGAATTGAAATCTTGACCCATTATTCTGATTAATTAGTGGTTAAACATCTTTAGGCATCTGAAAACGTTAGTTTTTAATCTAGTGTACTCAAAAAGGAACAACATAAAGCTTTAAAAACCCAATCCCATGTTACGCAAGGCGTCGATAGAGAAAGAATAAGGCTTTGAGTCAGAACAGGCAAGGGCTTAGATAACTGCCAAAATACCTAATCTGTAGACCTCACAAGTCTA